TAGTTCTCGTGATCTCTAATGTTTAAAAACACATGAAAATTTCGTCAAGTGTACGCGCGGTCGTGAATCTTTTGCTTCTCAAAGTGCGGTGACCCTACAGGCTTGGGCGGAACTCCTTCGCTTCCGGTGCTGTTCCGCTGCTGCTATTTCTATATATAAACCCACACGCGTTTATCGACATAAAGCGCATACACGTGTATAAAAGATTCATATATGCGCGCTGCCGAATACCACCGCAAAACGAGAGAACGATTTCGTTATACGAGAAGCTAATTTATAGGCGGCGCACTTTTGCCGAATGATTTTTCGTAGGAATTACTTAATCCTTTCAGGTAGAGCGATTTCATTGAATACTTATTAAGAAAAAGAGAATATAGTTATTATCATCTCGTAAAACGCTTACATTATAATATTATATTAATAAATCAATTTGTACTTTAAAATATTGAGAACTTTTTCTGTTCTTTATCATGTAATATATTTGCATATAATTATTCGATGTATTGTTAATAAGAGCTACTCTGTCGAGTAGAACAAAATGCGATATTTATAGAAGTTGCGAAGGAATGCAGTAAAACTGCCAAAGTTTGCTTGGCTATGCTATAAGATCTATGACAAGCCAAGAATAATAACGGGATTGATTTTTAGAAATAATTTTGGCTATCTCAATTTTTCTTAAAAAAAAAAAAAAAAACAGTGTATATTGTTTTGCAACAATAATATAATGTTAACAAAATGGTATCAGTTCGTATAGTAATAGATATCTCGATCAGGCTCGTGGAAATCATCTGCGAGATATTTTTGCTTTAGAATAAAAAGATATGTTTTTCAATATTTTTATATAATTAATTGATGTTCCCGAAATGTGCTAAGAATTGTTTATTCACGGAGTAATTTTTTTTTAAACACAGCCTTGGCCAAAAATATAAAACTCTTAATTGCAATAACAATTAAACAAAAATAGAGTTGTGAAATAAAAAATAATTTTAAAGTACATTCTATCATTTTGTTAACATCTATATTAATTGATTTTTATGATAGACATAGATAGCGATAATCATCATGCGTTTTCGAATGTTAGTATATATAACGCATTTCAAACAAAGAGAATGGAAATGAAGTGTCATAGGTCAATCTTTCCCAACATTTTGAAAGCAAAAATTCATGAGAAAAAAAGTCTGAAGGAATTCATAACAACTTGTAGCACAAGAGGCAGAATGTGTGTCGTAACAAATATATGAAAGTATATAACACGCGCGCGCGTTTCAGTATAGACATAACTATAACTATATATTAAAATTTTGATATTCAAATAAAAAAAAATGATTCATACGAAAAAGATTAAATTTTAAAACTATGAGGCACTAAAAACATTTACAAAATCATCTTAAATGTGTCAAAAACATATTTTAGATGTATGTATATCTTTGTTTAGGTATTTAGTACTTAATTAATAAATCATTTGTTTGCAAATATTGTTTTACATTCTCGTTATAATTATTAATTTATAACTTTGACCCTATTCAATATAAAATAGGCGTAAATATTTTAAAGATACAAAATATATATTGAAGCAGTGTTGTACTTACATTGTGGTGGCTGACTTCTCCGAGTCCTCGTAACAAAAAAATATTCGTTTCTCCCGTATTATCGTCGATTTATTATTCTTGGTGCATTAAATTAACGGCGATTTATCGTCGGATATCATTGTATAATTGGTGGGTCCCTACAATTTCCGGTACTGGCTGTGGAGATCGGTGATTACTTTTGGTTGGAAGTGTGTTGGTAAGTGGGAATGATGGAAACGATTACTGGAATCAAAAGAGAGATCATGTTATATGTTATGACAAGTTCGCGTGTTATAAAGACTTTTAATTTTCTTAGAATTCTCAACACGAGTTTCTAATAATCTTTGTTTTCACACGGACAAAGTTCATAATTTTGCTTAGGTATATCGATTACTTTGTTTTTGCCGAGCAAAATATAAAATACAATAGAACTTAATAAAAAAGACAAGAATCTCTTTAATAAATTTTGCAAGTTTTCAACAAATTAATTTTCATCCATTGTAATATATTTATGATGTAAAAACCAGAGATTAAAAACTGCAATAATAAGAGTAATAGAAATTAGTATATGAAATGAAACGAGAAATTGCGTAATAGGTCTACGTCGATATACTGAATGAACAAAGAATGAACCGAGTTAGACGCGAAACGTGAATGAGAAGGGAAAGGACAATGTCCTAGGGTAGATGCCTAATGCTTGGAAGAACCGAGTTTCGTTTTAGAACGCACCCTTGCGTATCGACGCGCAGCGAACCACGATTCTGCTACTTATTTCCTAAATCGACGTATCCGTATACAGGCAGCGAATTTCTCATACGAATTGAAGTAAATTGTCAGGGAAATCCGGAGATATCGAATTAACTCGAGACTCGTCGTTCGACGAATTCCTTGCAATTCAACGTTACAGCTTACAACGATCGAATTAAAAGTCGCTTCGAGCGTTCAGGGGTTGAGAGGTTGACGTTCTCCTTCTCGCGTGATTGAGCGCGATATTTTCTCACGGTGTGGAGCAAACAACGAAAGTTGGACCACATTATTTGGCACTGAATAGCGACGAGTTAGGCTGAGATTTCACTAAAATGTTGCAATCGCAATGGAAACACGAAAGTCAACCGCTTATTAATAAAATCGATACGTATTGTAAAATTACGCGCAACACAGGTGTACAACGATAACAATTACAACACTGTCATCACCAAGCGTTGTCACAGCGACTGAGAGACAGAGAGGCAGATGGATGGAAAAGAAAGGCAGAAAGAAAAGGAGAGATTTCGTCATCGAACCGCGTTGCACGTGCGCCGTGCACCGGATATGTCAGCTGCGGCGCGCAGGGCAAAGTGTATTGTGAGACTGCTCGCGGGTGCAGCGCCGGTGTCCCGGCTTTCCTATGCAACGCACTGCACCCTGCCTCCCACCCTCCGTCGTTGCCGTTTTTCGCCCCTCTCTCTATCTCCCCTCTCTGCTTCATCCCGTTTCTCGATCGTATATACGCGCATCGCCGACCTACCAAACCACGTGATCACCCTCTTTAGCCCTAGGCCGATTACTGCACCATCATCTCCTCCCTCCATCTTTCCTCGCAAATTTCTTGCCCTATTTTTTTCTATTCTCTCATCGTGCTACTTCTTCCCCGTTCTCGAAATTAATCTGGAATTTTTCCATATTTTAATCGGTACAACATATTTCCTAATCTTCGATTAATTATATATTTCGTCGAGTAAACTAATTTTTTCTCAACCAGGGAGTAAGTTTTATATCTCTCTCTCTCTCTCGCGCACACCCCTCGCATTCCGAGAGCTCTCGTCGCGCATCCGCATCTCCGCGTCCGTGCTTTGCTCGCTGGAATTTTTCGTCCCCTTTCCTCCCTACGTGGAGAGGAGAACGCGGTTCGTGTTCCTCTTCTACGACCGACCGGCCGCTTCCATCTTTGTCCACTCCCTACGGCAGATGCGCGCCGGCTCCTCTTCTTCGCTGTTGCACGCGCGAATGTACTTCTCTATATATCCCGCTCGTGAAAACGGACGTCGTCGTTCCACCGGAATGCCTCCTCTCGCTCTCTCTCGCCACCATTCTCTGCCGGACTCCATATACCGGCCACTGCCGTCATTTCTGTTCGCCCTGTGCTCCGCTCGTTTCCTCTCTTCCTCCCCTCCCTCTCCGTCCCTCCCCCTTAGTCTCGCAGTGGCTGAACAGTGGCGGATTCACACATCACACTGCTCTAAGTATGTTAATTCGAAGCCACCCCTCGTAGAGACTCCCCGTATCTTCATAGATCTAGTGCTTCTTTATATATTTGACATTGAAAGAAGACTGACAAGTGGAGAAAAAAATGCATGCGTAATTAAAAAATTATTCAATGAGTCTAATAATTGTTCCGACGACGAGTTCCTCGCTTTAAACTGCTTTACACAAATTTCTATTTGACATTGAAAGAAGATTGACAAGTGGAGAAAAAAATGCATGCGTAATTAAAAAATTATTCAATGAGTCTAATAATTGTTCCGACGACGAGTTCCTCGCTTTAAACTGCTTTACACAAATTTCTATTTGACATTGAAAGAAGACTGACAAGTGGAGAAAAAAATGCATGCGTAATTAAAAAAATATTCAATGAGTCTAATAATTGTTCCGACGACGAGTTCCTTGCTTTGAACTGCTCTACACAAATTTCTATACACGCAAAATAAATGATGCATTCACTCTGTCTTAAAGATACCGAAAATGCATTATTCTCGGTTAGCACCTCAGAGTGAAAAAATCTTCCTTTTCTTTTCAATCTATTCCTAAATCCGCCACTGTTCTCGAACTGGCATACCTTTCGCGGTCAGTGCGCCCTATCACTCGTACTACCTACCGCGCGCTCGCACTCGCTGCATCGGGAAAGCAAGCTGGCGATGCAGCCGTCCTTGTCGCACGCCGCTCGGCTCCATTCATGTCTCGGTTCTCCTTGGGTTATGCAACTCTGATGAGAGACGCGAAGAGCGTCTGAGAGATGCACCGCGCCGAGCCGAGCCGAGCCGCGCCGAGCTGCACCGACACTTTACCGTGTCTGAGAGTCAAGGAGAGAACTTACCGTCGATGCATACGACAAGTGTGTTCTTTCCTAGTGTAATACCATCTATCATCTATTGAAATTAGTTTTCTATTTTTACCGAAAAATGTTATTGCAAAATCTTTAGCACTTAGAAACATGAAAACACAATCGCTATAGCATTAATATAATACATTAAAATAAAATATTATGTATAGAAAGAGAAATATATAACAATGTATCTATATAAAAAATTCTACTCTGTTGTCTCAGGTAGTAAAGTAAGAGGAACGGGATTGTTACGGAATACACATTTTTAACATTATTGGTTACAGTTAATTCACAGGCTAATTTGAAGGAAAAGTAACTGGAGTAATTGTTTTATACATATATGCTATATGTATACGTATATTTTAATGTATTATTTTTATTGCATACCTTTGTAAACCATTACATCGCAACGTTGAATTCGCGATGAATATGTCTTGAATATGCGAGGTGTAAAGATTTCGGGACGAATTATCAATTTAATGACGAAATAACAAGTAGTTTATATAACAATAATTATATCGTCGCCTTATCAATTCTCCGAATACTTAACACTCCTATTTAAACGAATAATACTAATTAAGTTACGAAGGCACGTAATTTAATTGAAAAAGATTCATAATGTAGTTTACAGTTATAAAACTGAAGAGAGAATTCGTTACGCGCGGTGTGCCAACGCAATTCCATATCCAATATAAAATATTCATGATTAAGGTCTTTTAATTAATTCGTTATCGTTTTTGCTGATATATAGATTCCTTGCAATCAAGTACTAATCGCCAAATTAATAAAGCAGCAGGCAGGCGTAAATTTTAGCAATTTACCTGAAATATATCTGCACAAATTTTACAATTGACTGTACTAACTATGTCTAAAGTACAATATGATATAATCACATGATCCACGTAATTAATTACCTCATTAATTACGGAGGATATATTTTGCTAAAGCATCGCTCGCGCATATGTCGTAATCGTCAACGTGATGTTGTGCCGTCAACGTTGATCGACCCTCGCTTCTATCATCGAAGCTTTGGCTGATGCTTGCTCGCACTGGTTTAATATAAACCGAGTGTCGGTGGTACGCCGTGTGCTCTTTGAATGCTAATGATGGAACCGATTATCCGGATCGCGGATCCTCGAGAAAATCCGCCATAATAATATTCATGCAATAACAAAAAAATTGTTTAGTAAGAAGCCCAATTGACTTCGAAATTGACAATCGTGATCTTATAAAATGTCAGTCATGGAAATATCAGTATTATACAAATAATACTGAGATTAATTCCATGCTGAAGATGACAGTCCTTGTCAAATCTCGACATTAGTAAAAATTATCATGCGAGAGATGCTTCTCGATGTCCACGAAACCAGACGATCTATCTAACAAAACTATAGTTATTCGAGAATTATAATTCTATATAAGCACGATAAAAAGAAACAAGATGTAACATTGCGCATATAATAGCGACAGCGTGGAAAAAATTGCCAATCAAAAATTGATCCCCAATCAAAGTGCGTAATTAAGAAAAACTAAATTAATTATCATACCGGAGCACCGATATTAATTGGCAAGTATATTGCTTCTCATGGTTTGGGATCAATTTCTGACTGCGTCAAAAAGCTTCGCTATTAATTTGACTGAGAGTACACATCAAAGTTTCACCTTGTCTTTTTACGTCACGACTTCTTTTATACATACGTGAGTGTTGGCACACTCGTATATTCCTAATACTTTAGTTCTATTGACAGTGTATCAAAATATAGTCTTTATATCTTATATAAATGTACAGCGTCGAGAACCAGACATCTAGTGATTAATCTATTATATATTTTTCAATTATTACGAGAATATATGCGTGAGATATCGATCTCGAATACCGGCTTGTGTGTCGATCGTTTTAATAAAAAGAGAATATTATGTACTCGTATCACATATTAAAAATAAATATTATATATACTGTGTAAGAGAAAACCTATATATTTTTAGAATAAGAAACATCAACGTTCTATATTAAGGATAAATAAAAGGAAATTTTAAATCGATATAACGTACATATTTACAATATTCGTACTTTTAAAACATGAAATCACGTTCTATGCTATCAGTGCATAATACATGTCTTGTATTAAAAGTAAATATCGTTACTAAAAATAAAGAAAAATAAAGAATGTTTTGAAAGTTGAAAAAATGTATTAAGAAAGGGGAGAACATAATAGGCGTCTATCCAATTTCGCGAGGTGGCCTATTTTTATGTCAATGGGAGCAACCTCGTTGTTACAGGGTAAACGCCATGTCATTATAATAAAATTGCACTGTGCGTGCTGTATAATTAGAAAGAGCACATTGTAACGCAATAAATATGCGTAAAGGTTTGTACCTTCCAGGTATGAGAAATGTAGTTAATGATTGCGTACGTGTGTATCGTGTTCACGAAAAATATTACGAAATTCATACTTTTTCCAGAAAGACTTTTGTTAAAAAGAAAGATATGACAATAATAAGTCTTTCATAAAGTTCATTTAATTCTATAAATTATAATTAAGAATCGCGAAAGTATATAATAGAATAGACGATTGCAGCGAATTTTATTCATTGATTAGAGAAAAAACTGCAATCAAAATCTCATAATATTAATAGCATTCGGAATTTGACCGAGTAATAATACAAGCATGTGAGATTGAAGACTAACATGCTTGTATTATTGGAGCAATGAATAATATCGATGGACACATTATTAATCTTTAAAAATATATTGCACAACAAATATTACGGTTCCATTTAATAGCACAATATAATGAAAAAACTAAAGTGCAATATTATATAATGAGACATCAAAAAACAACACAATAATAATAGATTGCATTATATAGGAAATCGATAAACAATTTCCATTAATGCTTTAATTAATCCTGTCAATTGACAATTGTAAGATAATATTTATATACATAAATCTGTTTAAATAAGAAATTAATATTCATTCGTATATCTTTGCGAGATGTTCATTATTATATTCTCGATAAAAGAAATATTTTGAGAAAATTAATTTTTTTCGACAGTTCTCAACGCTGTGCATTTTTTCAATTGCTTTACCTACTGATAGTTATTTTTCGCAATTGCATCGATCTTGCAATTATTTCGGTGAATCCTGAAAGACATTGAGCTCGATGTTCGATTTTAAGTCCGCCAACTATTGTGTCTTCGATTTTACTTGAGTTTTGCAATCGCTGAAGACTAGATACAGGGAAGACGTTTTCAGAGAGAAATGCATTTTAGAGAAGCAGGAAATATTCCGCTTTGAGAAAATGTACTTTGAACAACTCAACTTTTACCACCACATTAATCGAACATCGAATCACAACGAGCAAATCAAGATTAAAACGCAATCTAATATTTCCGTCTTAATCAATATTTTATCGAAATTGAACCTAGTCGAGTATACATTTAATGATATTCGGTAAATTCGGTTTCTGATGTTATAAATATAATAAAATGGTCGTCACACAAGTATTTGTGTGGTAACGATAATGGAAATGCAATCATTACCGCGTGATAAAAAGTGTGTTTAGCAATATAATAATTTCTTACGTTAAAGTCTGTATTTCAATGAATACGTTAGGAATTGTGGAAATACGTATCGATTGGCAATATTTTCTATTTCACTACTATTCAATTCTCCTGAGTCTTTAAGGATGCAAGAGAGTGCTCCAGCGAATAAAAAAAAGATAGGTCAAGAAACATTGCAGCACTTAATTTTTGCCTCTTTCGAAAAAACATGCTATTGTCCGATGAAATACCGCGAGTCTAGGAAACATGTCTCCACGACTGTAAACACTTGTTACCACACATAATTTTTACACGTTCGCAAAAGCATTGGACTGTGCTTTTGTGAACGCGACTACTTTGTGGACGACGTCCTTAACCTAGGCCAACGTCTAAAGACATCATCACCAGGAAACCGACGATGGCTGCCCAACTGGCGAGTTTGCCGTTTCCGCTGTAAACAGAAAATATACGCGACGTATTCGCATTAAGATCGCGCAGAGAATCCTCGAGGTCCTTACGACTGTGTCGATTACAGTCAGTGAAACGTCAAACATTTTCTCTTCTCTACGATCTTATTCGCACGTGCAATTTCGTACTCGAAAAGTCTCTTTTTCTATTTTTTTTTATTATCCAAAGACATACCTGAGTATCCTTCAAACTCTCTTTGGTCTCAAACGGTCTTCTGGATTTTCGTCGCACTTGATCTGTCTTGCGCAACAACTCGCGGTACAGGCGTGATTTATACGCGGAAGGAGAAGGAGCGGGAGAATTTTAATTAGCACAACCGGCGGATCGAACGTAAAAATCGAAGGACGCGATGGACGAAGGATACGGAAGGGTACGAACGGGGGACGAGGGTACGGGGAATTAAAAAGGCGGCACTGGCGCCGTCGCCCACCACTATCCTCGTCGTCTCGCTGCCTACGGCCCCGTGGCAACGACCTGGGAGAAAGAGAGGCCCAGGATGGCGAGAAATAAAAGGGTTTTCGCGGCAAGTAAGTAGGGATTAAGCACATACAAAGCACACACTCGTGCCGCGCGTATATACCCCAGTATTGCACGCGTCACGGCTTGTTGATTTCGTAAATTATATACGGCCATCAATTTTAACGGCCGGCGAAACGCGTCGTTGTATTTCGGTGGGCGTTCTACCACATCAATCATATCCGCGCGGTAAGTACCTCTTTTCGGTGTGCCTCAGAAAATTTGTATTTTTATTGGTCATTATCGTGTCTCACACATCGCGCAATAGTAGCCGGGATAACAATGTCGATCCCCGATTTCGTCCTTGTCATCGTCGTCGTCGTCGTCGTCGTCGTCTGCTACAAAACTGGGCCCTCGTATAAAGTGACGTTTTACATCCGCTGAATAAAAATCGATCCTCGATTCAATTTATCTCAATTGTGTATTCAGGATTCGAATGGAATCCGATATTCGTGAAATATTCATTTCATTTCTCGGGTCTCCAAAAACTCTCTTGACACACGTAGTTGTAATTTAAATTCATTATCGAACATTATATAATATTAAATCACATCAATTTTTCATTAATTTCGAGCTCTGCTTACAATCGAAACTGCATAGTCGCCGGAGGAAATGTCAGCTAATTATTCGGATAATCTGCGGATAAGTGAAAGTTTTCGATAAGGAGATAAATTTAAATATCCCTATCGTAAAGATCAGATCGCGTCGAACGCGGAACACAAGTATCATGGGCGATGAAGCAGGCGTTCCTTTTCGCCGAGCAGAGGAAAATGCAAATTGCACGAGGGGCGACCGTTCCACGAAACGCGCCGAGTCGAACCAAGCCGAGCTGCGCTGATTTTTACCGGTTCTTCTCGTTCCGCGAAAGTACCAGAGTCTCGAGAAAATTCCAAAATATATTCATACTATTTCTTTCCGACTTGGATTGTCATTACAATATATTGCATGCACGGCCCAGTTTTGATTAATTAAACGCGAATGTAATTTCTCGATACAGCAACAACACTTTTCCTCCGTCTCGTAATTCTTACACGTGATGTGGACACGAAGAAAATCCTTTTTCTGATCAACAACTAATACCCAGCGAGTGATGTCGATGGTGTGCGTAGATTGTTTAACCCATAATTTTTAATACTTTCTTTCTAAATAAAGCAAGTAGTTTGACAAGTATGACTCTGGTAGTACGATGGCAATACAAATATTACAAATTGCGAGTTGGGCACTTATGGCACTTTAGAAATGTATTCATCGTTTCTTGAGGAGAAACGAGGACTTGTTAATAATACACATATTTTTACGCGCGTCCGCGTATAAAGGGGAAATTTTCATTTCTAAAAGGACTCGGTTATAAATATACTCTTCGAATGTGATCGTCATTAGAATTTCGAAGATATTGATGCGAAAATATTGATTGCGTTAGCGTTAAGCGAAAAGCAAAGTTGGATTGCGTGCAATCTATGCAAATGCAATTCGAGATGAAACGAGAGAACTTTCTTCCTCGGAGAAGGACTGTTCTCTCTCTTGCGCGGAGAACTCTTCCTTCGCGGAGGTCGAGCAACGGTTTCCGCGAAGGAAACGAGGAAAGACGAGGAACGGACGCGAAAGAGCGATCTGTTTTCACTTTTGCGTTTTCCGGCCACCCGGAGAGTTCCCGAGGGAGCGAGTCTAGAACGACAGTCTCAGAGGATCCGCGCGCTACGTGAGAGGAAAAATAAAGGCGGGAAAGAGAGCGGCCGCGCGCGCTCGGGTATCCGGGCGGTTAGATCGCATGCGAAATACAAAAGGAGCCAATTATAATGACAATGCGCCTTCTTCAACTAGACCGTCGCCGGGCCTGGGAAAGAAATTCGCCACGTCCGTTTCGTCGACGGCGCGCTAACTACGGCACTGCCGTCACGCGCCATTGTACCGTAATCGCTCTCGAATACGGACATCGTAGATACGTATGCGCTTGTGTGCGCGTTTAATATCCGTGTATAATATATATATATATATATATATATATATATATGTGCGTGTCCACTTGACACAAGTAGAAATTCATAGGACATACACAACACAAATCTTTCCTTCTCATTATTTATGCGTATAGTGTTGCTCCGCGTGATCACCGAGACGATTTTGCTGAGTTCTAGTAGCTTTCGATCATACAAAATGTTTCTGAGTTATATAGAGTTTGCAATAACATTACAACTTAAAGTGAAAGCATTATCTATTTCATTGCCATGTATAGCGCTAATAATTATTATATGAGACATATATAATATAGCATATTAAATTAAATAAATAAGAATTAAAGAGAGAAGGATCTAACTTTTAATTCATTTACTAGATTTCATGGAAATTTAGATTAGAGCTTATAAAGAAAATATATAAAAATGTAGATAAATATAAATTTACTAGAATTATAATTTATTATCGAGTCGTAATCTCTAAATTGATTTTATTCGCACAGTAGAGCTTTTTTCTTTATATAGCAAGCGTATATACGCGGCAATCAGCTCAATGCAAATAATATTCCTGACAAAGAACGATAAATATACAAAGATATCGAACGATAACGAGAGAAAGAGAAGAAGCTCAGATTACTCGTAAGGCGAGAAGTCTGCGGAACGATTGGGTTGGAGAATGTCGCGCATGGTCGAGAGATCGCCATCGAGCGACCATCCGTGGTCCGCATCTCCATTGGCGGGAGAATAAATCCCGAAATAAAGGGTCATTGTGTCGGTGGGAAAAGCGCCTTCCGTCCTTCTGACTCTGAGCCTAGGACCGGGTTCTAATTCGTTCTGAATGGGCCGAGGGTGAAACGTGAGACGGAAACGGGTGCAAGTGCACCATGGACTGGTGCCTCCGGTACAAACGGTATTTTAAAAAAATGAAGAAGAAAGATAGAGAGAAGATAGAGAGAAATAAGATAGAGAGGAAAAGGAAGAGAAGGGAGAGAAGAAAGGATGAGAAGCCGGAACCAGTTAAGGGAACGAATTGCGTTCAAGACCGTCTGTGCGAACCAGCTTCACCCTTCTGTATTCAACACTACCTTCTACGTTTTTTTTAAACAACACGTGCATTTTTCACGAATATTATCACGTTACTTGTCTTTTGGAAATATATAGTTGCAGTCGAAAAAATGTTCAATATAAATTTATTACTTACTTGCGATTTTGCTTAATTATTCCATCGATTTTATATACTTGTGCGTTTTCGAGAGACTTTTATCGAACATAATAGTAATCTTGAGAACGAGTTGAGCAAAGTAACCGTTGGTTGCATTTTTTGAGTATTGTATAAAGAGCGCGCAATAGAAATCGTTTAGCAATTTCAAGTTTTCCCGGACAGGTGATTATACGGTACATACCTTTGATGCGCTTCCGGGATGATGTCGTCGATCACGACATAGATCATCGCACCGGCAGCGAAGGCAAGTGCATAAGGTAGCGCAGGTGCGGCGAGCGTCACTCCGGCTGCACCAAGCACACCGGCGATAGGTTCCACCATCCCCGAAAGCTGGCCGTACCAGAAACTCTTCAGGGTACTAATCCCGGCAGCCTGGAGGGGCAGAGACACCGCCAAGCCTTCCGGGAAATTCTGTATTCCGATCCCGATCGCAAGATTTCTGCAACATTTCAAATTTCGAATTTTTAAGCTTACATCATTAATTATAAACATAAACGATAATAATAATAATAATAATAATAATTTCATTGCAAATAAATAACGAAGTTTGTAAAATATTAACAAACTCCAAACTCTTCTATATCAGGGAAAAGAGAATTGATCTTTTTAATATTAGCGACAATAATAATAAGTAAAGTGTATTTTTTTTTTATTATAGCTGAACACGAGAAATCTTTCTACCAGAAATGATGAAAAACATGTCACATGTCTCGTGACATTTCCATGCTAATTACTGCAGCGGGATTCATCGATCTTACTTCGAGTGTAAGAAATATCCATTCGCGAATTCTGTAAGATGGAAGCGCAAGGCTGCACTGGCGGATTGCAGCGAGCGGCGGCGGTATGCAAAAATAGCAGCCGTTCTGTCGTGGAATGGGAAAAGAGAGAGAGAGAGAGGCGCTTTGCGCGATCGCAGGATAAGAACTAAGGAGACAAGGTGGCTCCGCGCGAGAATCAACTTGCGCACACACACACACATCGCACCGACACAGCGGTGAGTTCTTGAAACTGGTCGACGACTTCGACATTCCCCGGATTTTTCCATCTTCGCGAACGGAGCAGAGCGCTCGGAGAGCCGCGAGGCTTCCTAGATCTAGCCGGTGTGTACCGCTCGCTCTTTCATGCTTACCGGAGAGCGGCAAAGCTTACTCGACCAAGGATCGCCGCTCATAAATAAGATGTCAATGAACGACAAAGTCTCGAGTTTCGCTTCCAGTTACGCAGGCTGTAACGTCTGGCAGCGACATAAAATTATCGGAGAAATGGTCGCGAATAAATTGAGGCAATGTAATATGCCCGTATCATTAACATTAATAATGAATTATTATAATATTTGAGTGTATACATGGGTGTGTATGTGAGAAGAGGTGTGTCTATCCACCAGAGGCCATTTACACATAGAAATGATATTAATTAATACGACCATACATTTTACTGTCTAATTCTCAAGATAATTCATTAATTATCAAATTAAATTAAGATATGATTTTAATTTCAAATTTAATCAAGATAAATCTATCTTCTCACGAGTAAAAAGACACGTTAGAAAAACAACAAATACTATTATAGTGACACGATCGATATACAGAAAGGAGACACACACAGAGTTTAGCTTCGCTGTAAGCTCACGAGACCTCTTTCCTCGACCTCGGTTCATCTCTGTCTCTCTTTTCCGCGACCTCGCGGACCGCCAAGTGTGATCTATGGTCCAAGTAATAGCATGGTAGAATCACGTCGAAGAATGAGGGAGAAAGGTAGGCAAGGGAGCGAGAGAGCGAGCGAGAAGGAGGAAAGGAAAGGAACAGCGGGAAAGAGAGACGTAACAGGTGAATGAACGACGAGATCGCGTACACGGTCTCCAACACACACAAGCGCCGGCGGGATATCTCACATATTGCACGTCGTCGTCGCGGAATTCTCCTCATCTTCGGAATATCATCGCGCAGAGACGCTCTCGACCCCGCGATTTGCCACAATCTCGCGACGAATCCTTCCATTCACTACTCCGAGCTAAGTCGAGAAACGCTCGAGGTTGAACTTTTCGTAATTTTCTTCAACTACACGGATGAATCGATCGATTAATCGATTGGAATTCCGCGAGATGCATATGTAAGAGCTATTTACATATTTGTCAAATTATGCATATTTTCAGCAGAAAGTAGGTCGCGTTTTCTCTGACGATAATTTCTAAAGTAATTATAATCACTGCGATTTTCACACCCAGCGGTCTATGGGAAAAATATTAAAATTCATGGAATAATTTCTTCGACTGTGTGTCGCGGTGAGATGGCATTTTTTTCACTTCTCGAGTGACAGTTAGATTTTCTTCAAAGATAATTGCGAAATCAATTATCATCCAACTCTGGGGTTATCAAGATGCTGTTTCTCTCTTTCTCCCTATCGATACAACTTCAATGAGAGATTCTTAGAATCGGTGTAATGGTATTCCTACAAAACTAGAACCTGAGGCCTCGCAATAATCCCATAGCCGGAGTTGAATTGAAGAACGGGAAACGGTCGAGAGAGAGCGCCGTTGGAAGAGTTAGGGAGACGATCCAATTCTAAGACCCATAAGAAGCGAGAAAACGGTACTGGGCTTTATGGAGGAGACTAACTATTCCGAATGAATGGCTCGACCGGATCGGACAAAGTCTCGTGCGCGCGCGCGCGAAACGACTGAAACGAAGAAAAACCCTTCGGTTCTGGTACGTGGAACGCGGTAACGAAGATCTTCCGCGATCTAGCTCCCGTAATTCGATATTCATGAGCATCAGACGAGGCGCACGCTATAGCGAGAATAAGCCGTTCGGAAGGCTTAAGAGTCGTCGTTGTTATAGTAATCATACATTGTGGCCTGACAAATAGTTAATAAGTTCCCTTCTCTTCCTCTAATGAGAAATATAAATTAATCCCACAAATAAGTTTGCAATTATTATTTTAAATAATTGGCGTTTTCTAGCGCAATGCTATATGGTAATTCTTATTTTTTAAATAGTATATTATTTTAGCTCTAAATGAGATAATGTTTGGAAGACGTTTCGTTTTCTTTCCCTTTTTCGCTTTTTGACAGTGTTAAAAGCTTATAAAAATCTATTAAAAGTGTATTTTTGCCAAGAAAATAAATTTTTTAACGACAGCCTAATAGAAATCTATCTCCAACGCGGTCGTGCAAAAATGTTGCCGTTAGTATCGCGAAGAATCAATACGCGTATTCGCAAAAATGTCTAACTACCGTTCGAACGCGAGCGAATCGATAGTCGAAGTAGAAAAAAAACTTAGAAACGAGCGATCCAGATGCAATAGAGCAGGTTCTTTCGGCGAATCGTCTATCCGCAAACGCTCGAGATTTACAAGAAACAATAGATCAACGCGAATGGCAGGAGAGAGAACGACGCGACGCGACGCGACACGACGTCGAGGTCGACACGTAGACACGTCGGCGAGAGAGCGCGACAGAGGCAGAGTACAGGTGAATGAATGACGTGATCCGCGCTCTTGCGCAGGGCGATCATCCAGTATAAGGTGCGATTCTTTCCTCCGTGGGCGTACACAAGATGATGGGAAGCGGAGGGTCCCCGGCGAGAGGTATGTCATGCCGCGACATGTCGCGCGTTATTTCATGCGACGACGGCATCATCGTCGCCGCATTCCTGCGGCGTCGAGGTACATAAGTGGTTGTACAGTTAACCCGTCGAGTCCGGCTGTTCGCCAGTTGCATCGGGGGAGGTCATCCGAGTTCCGAGAACGATCGTCCTCGTCCGCTCGTCTCCTCTCGCCTTGTATACTCGCAGTCTCGTGTACATATATGTGTGTGTGTGTGTGTGTACGTATGTGTTTGTGTGTCTGACCGTGTATCGTCGTTCCTTCTCCTCGCCGTTGTAACACGAGTACGGTTATCTTCTTCCCTGAATACCCCACTACCTTATCGCGGGCCCTTCGACGAGCACTACTACTTGATACCGCCGCTGCGCTGGTTCGGGACTTCTTTTCCTTCCTGAGTTCTTTCTGCTTTCCACGGTCAGGGCGCCGCTGTTCCCGATTCCCGATTTCGTCGATCACTTAAGATACCAGACGACGGCAAATAGTTTTATTTTCATTGTTAAATTGTTCAGAAACGATTGAGAAAGACCTAGCGTGCCATTCATAATCATTATATCTCTAGTGTTCCTCGAAAGGAATAAACATTATTTAGAAAAGTGAGACATCTTATATGAGATAAATAGTTATTTTCTTTGTAACGAGTTTTTAATGAATCTTATTATAGTGTTTAATTAATCTTTCAATTTATCTACAACGCTAAGCTTCATGTTACTCGACAAGAGTAAGATATGTGCAACGTATTAATTAGCACCGATCTTTCCCTAATGATCATATTGCCGTAACATTTTTCCGTCGCTTATTTGCTTATTTGTTGATAATAAGAATGATAGCTCTGCTATCATTCTTTCGTGCCGACACGTACGAAGCAGACAAGACCGCATGTTAACTCGAGGCCGCAAAAGATTCGAGCGCAAAGCAGCAGCCGGATCGAGCAAAGGACGGTGAACGAAGGAAAGTACAGGAGAAGTCGGGTAGATAACCTTAGGAACGGGGAGGTTGAGAGCTCTCTCATGGGGAATAGAGGATGTCGGGTCGAGGAATGCTTCGCGCGGGGAGTTCTCAGGATCCGGGAGAAAGTATTGGCGAGTAAGTCGATATGCGCGTAGATCCATGACGAGTTTTCAGGAGAGGGAATTTTTCTAGTGAAATCCGCCTTATTTTCTTTTACACGACCGTCTTAAAAATCAATGATGTGACGCTGGATTCCAATCGAAGATGAATGTATATAACAGAATTATTTAATTTTTTTGCGAAAAATATTCAAGCTGTTTAATCGAATATCTTTCTTATTTCTTCCTGTAAAATTTTGCAATTTGATAAAAAGTAATATTCTCTCGAGTAAAATGTTAGAGATGAGACACAAACGTTGCGTAATTAAATATTAATTAAAAATTGACAAATCTCATTATAAAAATTGTCAAATTTGTCAAGTAAAATTACACATAATTGCTGTAGGAAATTTTCCAATCTGAAACTCACGACATATAAAATCGCGAAAGCTGATATTTTTGTCTCGACTCGATAAAGAAATCAACGACAAACGAATGGTTATCTCAGTTCTCGCATATGTGCCGCGGGATGTTTAGAAAAGCCATTAGCCCGGTATCTCTTTTTCTTCGAATGTCGCTTGTGTGTAGATTAGAAAGTGTTTATCATGTCGGTGGTCCGCCGGATCTTGTTATGCGAGATACGTGACGGTGAGAAAGAGGCTAAACAGGCGGCTATTCATTCATAAAATTTCTCCACACGGCGCGGCGGTTTAAGCAATTTGTTATCTTTGCGGCTTTAATATAAATACGAAATTTTTCATAAAATTATACCAAACGATAAAAACAGACAGCTCTCGCTTTCCATTATTTATTGGTTTACCAAGCGATAATTGAGAGATGTTTCACACGCGGAGTATACGATACTATATGGCGTCGAGCGGTCTCGCGTCGAAGACCGCGGATTTCTCCTAGTAGAAAAAGAGATCTGACCGGGCCGGTCATCTCGGAGCGAAAAAAAATTGCGCGCGTGTGAGTTTCGGCACATGAACGCAGGACACGTGCCGCGTTTTCATACCGTTATCTACGCATATTCAAGATCCGGGCCGATCAACAAGTCGGCGATTTAGATGATTCTTTCGCGAGGAAAAACGCGAACTCTCGCGAAACAAGAGACAAAGGACAAAAATTATTATTGTACAATTAAAATCCATATCGTAAGCTTGTAAAACAAGTTTGTAATAGCGCATTCAATTGCGAGGCCAGAGTCCGATCGTGATACTAAACTGACATTGTCCACTCTCTATTAATGGAATAAAAAAAATGGAATAAAAAATGAGAGATCAAGCCGGATCTTGTGGCGTAATTTAATAGATCATTCATGCCGACTTAAAAGTTTGTTAGTACTAACATGGTGGTCGCTATAACTCTGTCGGACGCACCATGGAAGCCATCTTGAATTCCATAAAGCCGCGGTTGTCCTTACGTGGCAACACCTATCCGCTCCTCGCTACAGGACGAGGAACGTAAGCAGCTAATACTGCGAAAATGCATCGCACACTTTGCAACAATCTGTTGCTTGTACTTATCCAATCCTATTAAAACTTCCTCGAACATAACAATGATGACATCCTTTTCTCATTATATCACGAAGAACTTTGAATCTTATTTTAAATACAGATTAAAAATTTGCAAGAGTATATGTATACAGATATAACAAAATGGAGAAATAAATATACAGCAGTGTATTAAAGATATTATATCTACTAATAATTAGTATACTTTTAATAATATATTCGAATATCGGCAAAAAAATAATTTAAATGATTGTGTGGGTCAGCTGAATACATTAATCTCCAAAGATTTAATGGTATCATTATCAAGGCATAATTTGTAGCTGAATAAATTAAAAAAATAAAGACAATATAATAATACAACGGAGCAAAGTGCACAACAGCACGATATTGCTCCATCTCAATATTTATTTCCTCGGCCTGATTCGCGCAACAATGTTGCCCGTTGGGCACGAGTCGATCGGTTAAGATGCCATGACGAGGCTTTTCTCGCCGCGACGGAGTTCGGCTCGGTTAAAGAAGCGTGTTCAACGAGAAGCAGAAGGAAGTCGAAGAACAGGACGAGGAGGTAGGATGGCTTTGGTTCCGAGGGAGATGCAAGGATGTTAGCGCGCAGAGATTCGGCCGCGCGTGCGAATATGGACCCACGTGAAAAAGAAAGGAAGAAAGAAAGAGACGTCTATCGTGTGCGCGAGTATATGTGTACACATGCATGTATGTACACATGCTTAAACGTCGAGACGAAGGGAAAAGGGAAGGACGAAAGAAGAGAGGAAAGGCTCGCGGATTCGCGTGTGCGGGAGACACAGAGAGGAATCTGAAAATGAAAAAAAGGTCAGGGAAGAGGAAAAGGAGACGAAATCTTCGTGTAGTGTATATGTATCATATGTATATATATATATATATATATATATGTATACTAAAGTGAGGGAGACAGGAGAAGAGGAATGAGATGAGAAGCGTATATATAGAGGTGCAGAGTGAGCGCGGCGTATCCGTGTGAGAGGATGAAGGAGCGAGAAAAAGAGAATAAGAGAGACAGATCGAGAGAGCGAAGAGGAAGGAGAGGGAGATCCGAGATGAGAGAGAGAGAAAAAGAAAGAGAAAGAGAGAGATAGGAGGCGGGGGGCGAGAGAGGCAGTAAGGAATGCATGGGAACGAGGCGCAAGCGGGCCGACCGCGATTTGCCCGTCCCGCATTCCACCAACGCCAAGGCGAGCTCTCGGGCTCTCTTCTCAGCTCCGTGAGTTCCGGGGAAGAGGAAGGGGGAGGGGGCCACCGGCCACGGTCTAACGCCATAAAACCATAAGACCGTAAGATCCAACCCTGATGCTGCCGCCGCTGCTGTTAACGTTGCATCTCGAGTCGCGCATTCGATCGCGATTCGACTTCGACACCCTCGAACCACCCTCGAATCAATTTTATTCTTATTTCTTTTTCTCCCTTATTCGAATCATTATAACTTTTGACACGTTTTACGCTATGATAAATTCTTTATTCTTTACGTTTTCGCATTCACACGCGTAGATTTAGCGTACAGATACATTTGCATCAGAGATAAGGATACTGAGTACCGAACTAATTGATCGTGACATTGTTCGATTAGTCATCTCTGTGAAATGTGCTCCGCGTAATTTAGCGCTTTATTATCTCGTGCTTCTCTATTATTCTCGATCAAGTAATACACCGTCAGCACTCGCAACCGGAATCAATTAACTCGCATTAGCCGATCGTGCCTAATCGGTGAGAGAAAGAGAGAAAGAGAGATTGGTGCTCCGAGTTCTTCATGCATCATGGTATGTGGCGAACAAGATTAATCGCCGGCGAGGAGCAATGAAGGCCGCGTAAGGTAAGGTAAAACAGGTGTCTCTCGCGTTGCAACAGCGACGATCATCGTCGTCGTCGTCGTCGTCGGTGCATCTCGCATTAGGAACTTAGGTATCGTCTTGGTAGGAAAGAAAGATAGGGAGCGAGAGGGAAAGGGAAATAAGAGGAGACAGAAAGACGGACCGCAGGTCTCGGTTAAGTCCTCGCAGACGATCGTGAGGTCGTCGTCGAGGGACATAACGGATCCGGCTGTTCGTCTGTTCAGAGTAAGGGATGCGGCGCGCATGCGTAATGCCGCCGCATTCCAGACATTGCAAAGACGTTGCACCGCGCCGCGCCGGTGCATCGGCCCGCGCGCGCGCGCGCGCGCGACGAAGAGAGCGAAGAAGTTGGAGCGCGGTGGCGAACAAGTCCAGGCGATCAACGTGAGCGCATCGTCGCGGCTGTCAGACGCTCTCTCCTGGAAGATGCGCCTGTACTGATCACCGACACGGCACCGTCGATGGCTCTTCTCGCCGAAAAGTAGGAAATTCTTCAAATGCAACTCGATACACGCTCTCTCTCTCTCTCTCTCTCTTTCTTCGGGTTCTTATTTTAAACGTCCTATTATTTTGCATGCTGCAATTAAATCAGCGATCCCAGCGTACGTTATGATTAATCAAAATTTTAACTAATTTTCTCTTCAAACAATAAAACAAGAAACTAGTCGAAAGATTAAAGTTTGATCAAGATTCGACCAATTTCTTGTTTTATTTCTTGAAGGAGAAAATTGGTTAAACTTTGATTAATCATGCAATTCATTAACGTGCTACGGTTGCAAATTCAATTACAATATGCAGTAAAAATATTCAATTGTTTAAATAATAATGAAAAACTGAATGACAGTTCTATAAAATGATTTTTGCAGAATAAAATAAATTTTGAAAAATAGGAATAATATATTTACATGTGTGTCTTATATAGAAATTATGAATAACTCATTTAATTTCATTAAAGTGAAGTATACTCGGAACAAATAAAGAATAAATTATATTTATACCATTTATTAAATTCAAAGCCTATAATTTAAAATGTTAAATAACACCGTATTATTTATCCTCTGTTAGATTTAAGATAGTAATAAAATGTTTTGCGTAACATATTAATGATAGGATACAGTATAAATTTCACATTTACCTAGAATTGCCTTTATATAATTATGTCAAATTTTTCCACAATTATTGTATGTAAGCTAAATCAATATAACTACCTTCATTTTTCTAAGCATCATGACGTGTACCAAGAAATGTGAAAGGCTAAGAAATTATACGAGTATTTCATTAATCGACGATTGGTAAATTAATGTATGTTAATTGTGATCCTTGTGTCGGCGCGTGCATCGCGCATTAAGCATGACATAATTATCGAGAAATCTGCGATGCGGTAAAGTGCAGCAGGTGCCGCGAGGTCGATATAAATTCTAAAGTCGGGTTTTAAGTATTTTGCGCCGCTGCTACAGCGAGTGGAAGAGGAAGTAAGGAGAAGAAGAAACGAAGAGAGAAAAAGTTATCAGCAAGGTGAATGGAAGGGAGGCGAAAGGACGCGTGAACGCGAAATACGAGATGAGAAAAGTATCAGTGTGGAATGTCACTAGCTTAGAGAACGTCTCGCGAGTCCAGTTCTCAGAATCGTTCAACTCGTGAACGGTCGCGTCTGAATGATTATAAAGTGCACCGACAAAACGGGAAGAGAGATGCTTATCGACGTAATCGCGTTTCATGGAATAATGAGACAATCGAGGGAATCCTTAAAAAAGGGGAGACTATACGATATATGGCGTATTGGGCCCTTAAGGTTCAGAGATCCCACTACTTGATATGCGATCATTCGATTTTCGCCCCAAAATTCCTTACGAGTTTTAATAAGGAAACTGCGTTTTTTAAATTGTAAAAGGAATGTGTCGAGATATTTTAAATCCTCGTGATTTAATAAACTTCTTTCGTTTCAAAAGAAAAGGATTTGACGGCAGATGTGCCTATACTAATTAAAAACATGTATAAGGGAAAGAACAGCCGTATAATGCAACTTTGAAAAATTAATATTTTAATGAAATAAAAAAAATTTTATGTATATACGTGTTTTTATCTATTGCCAATATCTTGCTCACAAAGTGGCAATATGTCGATGCAATATCATTAAATACAAATGTTATGTAAATACGCGTGTACTTTGACGTAACACTTTAACGTATATCACTCTCTGATTTAATATTCCCATTCTTAGTCCGCGTTCGAGATTACAACTCGCATAAACTTATATCTTCGCGAATGTCGTAAAACGCAGCGAACGAGCGCTTCGTGCTAATGAGTGTTCATCTGCACAATTTTCATTACCGTTGTCGACATCGCCACAATTGTTTTTCTCTGTTTCCCGTATTTTGTATCCTCGCGCATTTTAAATCGGCGCAATCATATTGCGCCAAGATATCAAGAGTGAGAAATGAAAAATGATTTTGTTTTTCTCGGTTTTGCATCGCAACAATATTTTAAACAACACAATCGTGCATCACGAGAGAGAAAAAAAATTACGATAATCCGACATGGCCGCGAAAGATGATGAATTCGGAAGCGCGATGCGTGACATTTTGGCGGCGTATCGGTAAAGGAAGAAACGTCCCCCGTAATTTACATGCCGACGGGCACGAGATCGAGAACGATGTTCGAGGAACTGGTTGGTCTCTCGCCGACAACAGAAATTACTTCGACACGCACGAGCCTCTCCAAGCTAGTGCTGGAACTCTCGGTTAACACGACGTGCCTGTATTTGTGCTTAACTGCACACGCGCGCACGTGCATCCCACCGTGCGGAGAGCCTAAGCGGGAAGTAGTATATCGTAGTAGACTTCCGTCGCTATTAGCACACGTCAGAATTGGTTTTCCGCGTGAGATAAGCTGCAAAGTACCCACGACGGAGATTAGAAGTACGAGTCCGGGCTTTACGAGGATTGTAATAGGCCACGTCGCAGTAGAACGCCGGAAAATGTTCAGCAATAGCCGAGATTCATTAATTCAATGCCGTCACGTTTAGTTATGTCTCGAATTTAATGTCAATTTTGTAGGCCACGTGTTTGCGCGATGAGATATTATTATGTATAATATATATGCAAGGAAAAGATTTTCTACATCAAATATTTTGATAATAATGTCGCGAATTAAAATCATGAAAAGTTCAAGTATACTTAAGATTTAAAAAAAATGAACATTTTGTCATTTGAATACGTTTTCAAAATCTATTTCTTTCATCTCTTATTACCTGCATATTTTTGGTTTAAAAAAAATCGAAAAATACATCGTCGCGATGTTTAACGTCATAAGATAAGCACTGTGTATTTATATCTGACATTTATTCCAAAAAGCGTTTACTCTCGCGTCGGACAAACCCGGTGATATAAATTAAAAAGCTCAAGACGTTGAAGATAAATATAGCGATATCGAAAAAAATCAAAAGCTCGCTATCTCGATCTTTATAGCGTATCTCACATTGGACGTGCATGGGATATCGAGAAAAAACGAGAACAGTATGAAGCTAAAGAGGAAGAACGATGTTGGAAGAAGGTAGATTTTGGTGAGTGAAGAGGAGAGGTGGGGGAGGGGGAGAAGAAGTAAAAGAAAGGTCCAATACAAGCGAAGAGGTAAAAAGAAAGGAATAAAGGAACGAGAAGATACCGAGGGGAGAGAAAGAAGAAAGAGGGAACGCGCTGAGCGCCGGTCGGCCGGTATATAATAAGGCAGCTGAGAGAGGATAGCACCAAAATGAGATGGTTTCGTCGGCAGCTTTGTCCGGCGCCATGTTTAACATAGCACCACCTCATCTACGTGGCGCAGCGACTCGAAGAAGAGCCCGCGGTTCCTTCGCGTTTTTACACACGCTCTCTCGTTCTCTCACTTCCTCCTTGTTCAGAAGCAGCTCCGTAAAAAAAAAAAAAGAACAAGCAGGACAACGGAGGAGGAAAAGGAAGAAGAGAAAGAATAAGGGCCAGTGTGTATACAAATCAGATCCTCGCGCCCTTTGTGCGATCGTACTCCGCCTACGGTGATCCGAAACGTCGTATGTCCGCATTTACGTCGCGTCGTAAATAAATTTCGGAGAAAATGGAGCCTTAAAAATATATTTTCGTGGATAAAAGATGCTATCTTATCTGTTATCGCATAGTAACGGTGAGAGTCAAATACATTGATGACGACGTTAATTTTAACTCATATCCCTAACAGCACAGCATGTCCGAAAGACGTTCAGATTCAGACATCCTGGATCCTTTGAATGTAAAATATCCTCTGGATGTTCTCTGAACGTCTTTTGGATATGTGTGCTATTAGTGATAGAATACGTATTTAAAAAAAAGGATATTTTTCTGCGATTAATTTTTTCATGTATATTAAGTCTAATTGTTTGAAAGAGAATTTAAAAAATCATACATACTAGAATGATTCTGCAGTTACATTTTTCTTTCATTTATGTGGCAAAATTCGAAACGCATAAATTGCTATAAAAATGTGAAAATGTTTCGAAAAAGTATGAATAAAGAGGAAAGAAATAAATAAACGTCAGTCACATCCGCGAAAAATTCGCATAACACTGATCGTGAGTCATTACCGGATCTCCTTGAGCAGTTAACAACGAGCGCAAATCTGCTTCGACTGCCTTTCCATCTATCTACTACCTCTTTTTCCCTCAGTTTCTTGCGGCATCTCTATCGGTCGTTCTGTAACATTGCTGAGGCAACAGAAACTGCGAAACATTTCATTCATGATTCTTTTAGCGCCGTAGCGCACCGGAATTCATTACCGCCTCTACTATCGCAAGGAATTACGTTTCCTTGAAAAGGACGCGACACGAACGTAGATCAGACTGCTGCTACCAACAGTCGAACCTGTCGCTTGAATTGCGCAAAAATTTCATTTCCATAACGACGCCGTTTTAATGACGTTCTCCTTGACCGGCACGCGGTGTGTAACAACTCCTTTGAGCCTTTTTTATCCTACCCGTTGCGGATATTGCAAATCGATAGCGTGATTTATGGACGGGAAACTCGAGTTTAGTCATAGGATCACGATAGTTATGTAACGCCTGTAAGATGTATTATTAGACCGAGGTAAAAATTTTTTTAGTAGAAGAACCAGTTGCATTTTTTTATCGTTTCCTTTTCTTTTTCTCTTTAGATTCTCTCTGATTAAACGTATTTTTTATTAGCTATATAAAAAAGAATAAATTGCAAGTATTTTGAAAAAAATTAGGCAAGTTTATCGTAGATTTATTAGTTTTTAACAAGAGTTTTTCAATCTGAATGCAATATATTTTTCTTTAAATCGAAAAGTATGCGATTATTAAATTAATTAACAGAATAAAATTAATTTAGCAAACTTATTAAGAAAAAAATGAATCCCTTTTGCAGTGATCAAATCGAGAAAATACTTGTAGCTCCGAAATTAGAAACTCACATCTTTTCAAATACTGTTCTTATTTGTTCATACACACAAGTTAAAGGCGAGCGTGATTAGCAAGGGACATATTCTGTACATACAAGCGAATTCTGCTGCGCGGGCTTATATAATGCAGCTGAAAATATATGCAGGACCAAGAGGGTTAATCGCAATCGTCGTGAGAATGGTATGTCGTTCGTTATGAACTGGTCGAGACAGAAAAGGGCATGGGCTAGGGTCGTCCAAGGCTGAACGATTTTTCCAAACGAGCAATAAAAGCATGTCTCACATACACATATTCGCACGTTCGCGTTCGAAACAGGACCTACTACTACTCGCTCTCTAGCCTGGTAGCATCGAAAGCGTTACAAAGCACAATGTTGCACGCAGCACAGTCAGAATTTCTCTTATTAGGACTTACCAATAACGGGCGTACAACACCCGTGGGAAGTTTCACTTCCGAAATGGATGTCGGCTATCGCGCGACTTATTATCGCCGCTTATTTGATCGCTTTTAAGGTGATGGTGCTAATTATCTCGCGAGAGCGACGCAAAAGGCGATATTCCCAGGTTAGTCCCGTAGTCGTAATGAAAATTCCTGCTTTCGTTGCAGTATTAATTGCCCGGTTTCTCATTGACGTTTTTAACCGTTGCGTTGCCGAGAAACGCTCTTATCTTCATTATAACCGGAAACGGCGGTTCGCGGTTGCTCAATTTTACATTAGATCGCGGATGCGTAATTAAGCGCTCGCGACTTCTGAGGTCGGGATTGTTAAATAATAACATTTTAACGTTATTTAGCAGAGCAACATTATTTATGCATGCGCTATGATATTATATGATAATAAGATTAACGATTTCATATCGCACGAGTTAAGTACTTGGTTGTCAAGCGAGAGAGAGAGAAAGAGAGAAGGAAAGCGCGCGAAAGACACGATTCATTCATTCTACAGATTCTTAATGGACCCTTCGCCACCGACACCCCGGGATTTCGGGACTCGGGGCCACGTCGCTCTCGTGGTCGTCGTTATTTGAATGCACTGGAATGCCGCTTTACATCGTAAGTCGGCGCATCTGATGTTAAGTTAGTTCTATATATACGATCATACGCATATAGGTATACAAAAACTTGAAATTCCTCGAATAATTTGATGCTGTAAATTTATGTAAATGTATAGTGGGGCAGCTTGAAAATTAAATGTCACTACAGCGAGGGTGAAATAATTCAAGATTCGCTTCATGTGCTTGAATGCAAATTTACTTCGAGGGATTGTAATTATTGGTGGCACATGTTATAAAAAGCGCAAAAAATAATATGTTAATTGTTATTAAAATATAAAATAATTCTAAAAAAAAAATTCAATTAATATAACAATTTAAAATAATCTTTAATATCAAGACTTAATCGCGATGAAAAAATGAGGGAGAGAGAGAAAGAGATAAAGATGATTTGTTGTATTGTTTCAGATAATGCTTGCAATTAATTGGAGGATTCGATATAAAATAATGTTCGTTTATTTAAACATACTTTTTCAAGAAATTAAAAAAAGCTACACAGAGAAAATTTTGTCTTAGAATCTACCCTGAAAATTATGTTAATCGTGAGACAATATGGTATTGGAAGAATTTTATAAGAGTTTCTTTGATTAATATTTACCACAATAAAAATATTGATATCTACCATAATATGATATAAAATATGTTCGATTAATTTTACTATATACATAGTAAAAATTACTATGTACACATTTTTATTAATTATTTTTTATTGTGATAAATATTAATAAGAGAAATTCTCATAAAATCCTTCTAAGACCATATTGTTTCATGATTACCATGATTTTCACAGGTAAATTCTAAGAGAAAATTCTCTCCGTGTAATATTTAATTCTCAATGCAATTAGCGATACGAGAAAAGGTTGCTTAGTTAATGTTGACTATTGTATAGAAGTGCGATATATAAACGCGATGTCACATATCCGCTTGCGAATCACGTAATGATAATAAGTCATCAGGATCGCGCCCATCCTCTTTTCCGTGTATAGGCAGCGTTATGCGAATTGCATGTCGATTCATACGTCAAATAAACAATGATGCAAAAATCAGAAAATTCAACGGGAAATAATTTTTCATTTCACGTGCAGAGCCACGTTCACATATTCATTCAACACTGATAAACTCGATCTCTTTTCTCGCAGTATTTAATTAAGATCTTCCGCTAGATTAATTTTACGTGTGTATATTTGTAGATTTATTAAAAAGAATATAAATTCACATATTATCATTAAAAAGGTGCTATTTTTATAAAAATTCTATTATAATTATATTTCTTTTATAATATATGAAAATAATCATTTATGTACCATACTTTCCTTGAAAAATCAGTTATATTTTTTCCCAAAATCAATGTTTATAAATTTGACTTTAATTATAAGAAAATTTTTTATAAAGATTAGTTTAAAAAATAATAGCTAAGCACATTTTTGCCTTCTCATATATCATTTCTAAGTTTTAATGAGCGAAATATACTTGAACAAATTCATCTTTAGCGGAGTAAATGCCCGCAAAAAAACCTTAGTTGCAATTGAAAACCATTAAGATTGCAAATAAAAGTATAATTGAAAATCTAGTATTCTACGAAAAAGTACTCAGAACAGCTTATCAATAGGTGCTTTCCATTTAGGAACACAAGTCGACACAAGCGTCATTCTATCTTTATTCTCATACAATGTAGAATAAAGATATAATGATGTTTGTGTCGACTTATGTTTGTGTTGCTAAATGAAAAGCACCTAAAGGGGATAATGTATCTGAAAGAAATCTCATGAAACACCTCGTGAATTTCGAAGATCTTTCTCGAGAAAAATCTGACAGTTATGACGGGGGCCGGTAAAGTTGCGTGCGCGACGAAACATCGAGAGGAATACGGCGAAATTGTCGAAAAGTAAACGCGAGTCAAAGAAAGCGAGTTCGAAGACATCTTCGCGAAAGAGTTGGAGCGAGGCGAGAAGCAGCAGCGCGAAATCAGAAGCGGGACACGTAGGCGCGGGATAGGTAGGTAGGTAGGTAGGTTGGTAGGCAGGCAGGTAGGTAGGTAGGTAGGTAGGTAGGTGACAGGAGGAAAGAGAGAGGGATGCTGGAATGGAATGCGCGGCGCCTAGGGCTCGTCGGATTCCAGGGCCACACGTGCCCTTCTCTCTCTGCGCGCCCGCGCGCCGCAGGCACCGACCGAAGCCAATAAACTTCGCCTCCAACTGGCGGTCGCGGTCGACCACCATAGAGCTCATTCATGGAGACCTCCTACCATGCCGCGGCCGGCAATCGCTCGTGACCTCGCGAATCATCGACATATAAGAATATACATCAACCACAGTAGACACTGCCAAATCAGGGCAAGAGGAGTGTTGACATTAAGAATAAGAAGGAACTTATCAAACGTTTCAGTTCGATATCATTCGACTCTGACACTTATTTTTCTCTTCTTGTTCTTTTTCACCGAACTCCCTTCCTTGATAACGCAATATTATGCTGTTCTTACATACTTACTTTGCTTGTGATAATAGATTCGAATAAAGGAGTGACGACAGGAAAGATGATGAAGGAGTCACGTGGAAGATACGTATATAGAGTCACCTGAGAATCCTGATTAATTAGGTGAGAGGTGTGAGAAATGATGCCGAGACAAATTGAAATGGTCTACTCTTACTACTAATCTTACCTTTTGTAGAATGTCTATCAATGCGTTCAATGCGAATACTTTACACAGCTGCCATCTAGCACGGAATTTAAGTGTCACGAAGAGCGGTGGAAATGATCAACATCGGATAATATAAATTTCAATATTAATTCAAATTCAAATTAATTTAAAAGGAAAAGAGAAATATAAAAATCGTTTTCATAAATTAAAATTTAAAAAAAGAATTTGATATACTCGAATCGTATGTCATAAATATCTTTGTTATCTTATATATTCAGTAATTTTTCTAATTATTTTTATTCTATCAGTACGTTAATATAAATTACTCATTAATAAAAATCTGTTTCTTTTTTAAAAAAAGATTTGAAAGAATTGTCTCTTTTTTTATTATAATAAAAGTACTGATAAATCTTACGATATCTTATGATACCAATCCTTTTTATATTTTATTATACAAAATTAATTAATGATAACGCGTTACATTTAAAACGCGATTACTACGATAAAAATATAAAAGATATAGAATGTCGAAGAAATGTTGAGAACACAAATATACTTTTATATGAAATCCGATAACCCGTTTTTTATGGATTAAAATGGAAATAATATAATATTGTTTTTTCATTGCTCAATAAGTACTTACGTTTTCTTTTTTTCAATTCTGCACATGATCACAAAACGTCTATGATAATACTTAAAATCCACTGCTTTGCTAACTTCGCATTTAACCTTCATGACACAATCAATTGAATAGACAAGATTGATCTAAACCACTAATACAGCCGTTATTAAACGCTGTTAGCAATGTCGCGTCATCACATTGTCAGGGGGAATATATTATTTTCGTTTGAAAACTTTTTATTTCTTTTGTCATACCATTCGATTTTTAATCACTACTCTTACTCTAATGCAGATTTTTTACTGTTATATATGTTATATTTATTGTGTACGATTTTTATTTATGACGATTTCATATTGAATTAATAAACCACAAATATATGAATGCAAAATTTTGTATTGTGATGCAATTTATGTTATTAGTAAAAAAATATTCTATTTATTTCGAAATTATCTAATCCAATATATGATAATAAACAACTTCTAACAACAAAGTTTGCCATATCATATCAATCTTTCTGAAAAAAAAAAAAAAAAAAAAAAAAAAACAAAAAAAAATGAAAATGCTGATATATATTTCGTGAAAAATTTGGCAAATAAAGCCAATTATTTATATTAAATAAATTTTATATTTTATAAATAAATATTTTGAAAACAACAAGAGAATAGTTATTTTTTTGATCATTCGCGACGTAGGTATTTTTTCATGTAAATATTTATATGCTATCTACATATAAAGTTTCAGAGTGCATAGCTTACCTGGCATTTTCAAAAGTCGCCGATGCACTACTGCCGACTGCTCCAAAGCCTACACCGACTGCAAGACCCTCAGGAATATTATGTACCTAATGCAAAAAATCAAAATATATATATTATTTGATTGATAACTAACGTAATGTACGATCTATAAGATAGTTTGCATAATTATTCACTATGTCATAAAAATATACCGTAATAGCAACAACGAGTAGTAATATCCTCCGCCACTGATTATTCTTCGCTTCGTTATTAGGATCCTCGTAAACTGTTCCGATCTCTGCTGATTCCGATGATCTGTTTATATTCGCGATTTGTCGACGTCTACTATTCTGTTCGTAGAAGCCTGAAAAATTAAACATTCACAACAAAATATACCACACATTCTGCACTAACACAAACTTTGAAAAATAACTAAACCATGGGCACAGGATCACTTCATGCAAATGCAATTTGTGTAAGATGAAGGATTAGAAGAGAAGAACTTTTTTCACTCTGACAAACATACTTTCGATTAAATTTGTTTTGCAGTTAATTTATTTAGGCAGGATTAATAAGATCAGTTTTTTTTTACTTCATAGAACTTTTCACACAGATCCAAAATGTTTATTTTATTGATTTTTGTTTTATTTATATATTTAGATATGTATTATCAGAGATAATATTTTACGCGGACGTGCACTTTGTGTTAATAATATATGAGTTTATAGATTTAACATTTTTGATTCTGTCTTTTTTGTGTTGGTTCTCTGTCTTTGTTATTTGGATTTTGTTTTTGTCATTCACACTTTTAATCACACCACTCGTTCGAGATTTTAAATTTCAGTTTAAATGATGCATTTAACAGGCGGGTCGGATATTTATTTATAAGTTTATATTGAACCTGTGTGCTTAAGTCCTACGTATTTCTCTACGAATATCATGCATATGCTAATACAAAGCTTGGGATATTTTTAGACTAACGCATATATCAATTATTTATATTTCTATCAAATGTAACTTCTTACGAGGGAAAACATGTATAATATGTATCTCAATTTATACGAATAAGATATTTGTTTGGAATAAGCAATGATCTCTAATAAATTAATTTAAATAGTACATATAGGCATTTTAAATATATTCTATTTTAGATTTAAACTTAATTGATAATTTAATCAGCAAGTTCGATAAAAGTTAATAGAGAGATAAGGTTTCTCATTTCGATAAAAGTAATATATATCAGAGAGATAAGATAAAGTTTTAATGTCAATACATTCAATATACATTATTTGTGTTAATGTACTATTAATCATAATCATAATCATGTTTTGACAAATGTAATAGAACAACACGTATTAACACGTACAATATGTACAATATTATGGTTATATATAATATGATTATGATAAATGTAATAGCATTAACGCGTATAATATATATTTTGTATCTAAGAATCTCTATTGGGAAAAAGAATATTAGATCAAATCAAAATATTATAAGTCGAACTTTTGTCTATATTATGATGTTCTCATTAAGCAGTTTTACTATATTATTACTTTTGGGTAAGCAGATTTTATCATGCTACATGCAAAGATTCCAACTATTGTATCTTAAGACAACTTTACGCTAAATGCGTCAATTCTCATAAAAATAGCACACAAAAAAATTTGAGAGAATGCTTATTCCTGAATAAAATAATGTTATATCTCTGCGATAAAGCAAAGAGGGGCGAGTGTATACGGACGTTTATATACATATACGGAGATATATGTATATACATATATATTTAGTATACGTGTCACACGAACTGATCCCATTTTCCAAGCCTATAGAAAGAGAGAAAGAGAAAAAAAACTGCGATTTTACAAGAAGAAAATGAGATACCATCGATAGTGGTCGATTCGACGCGAGTGTACATCTTTCCACTGGAAATTTGTACGTCGTTAAACAACGGATCATAATCATTGTCTAAGTCCTCGTCACTCTTTAGTTTCGCAATGTTGCGTCTTTGTTTCGTACCGACTGATTGCATAGCTAAAAGCACATTGGGGGACTGAATGCCGAGGGTAGATATCAACACGTCCGTCCCGTATACAAATGCCGCGCCGATGAGAAATCCAACTGCGACCGGCACGAACGCGTACTCGCCCTCAGCTCCATATGTCTTGCTCTCGGTTGCCATTTCGATTGCTGGTGCCAGCAATGACCAGTAACTTGCGGCCACCATCACGCCGGCAGCGAACCCCAGGCTGACATCGAGCAGCTTACGCTAACGGAAACAAATCGTTATAGATAGATAAGCGGTTCCTTAACTCGAAAACTTGGATGAAGAAGGTGAGAGAATGAATGAATTTCTGCATTTAATTCGTGCAGTCTTTTCGCGCTATTCAAAATTGATAGAAACCTCTTTCTTCTATAACTATTTTAAAAAATTAGAAATTTGATTGATCTTATGTCTTGAAATTCATTAACAGAGAACCTATTAGCATCAGCAATAATTTAAATTTTCTGTAGTATATATATATACATACATTAATTTCTTTTTGACTTTGCCAAGTTCAAGATGATTTGCAACCCTGATTTAGCTTTCGCTAAAACGTCAGAGGTGTGGTATACATGTGCTTACTTAGAACATACATGCATTAAGTTTGCGAGCGAATATCAAAAAAATTGTGTCAATATTGTGCAAGTAGCATGAGTTTTATCTCGTGTATCAGTGCGGTAAAATACGGCAGTGTTGACTATCTCTCGTATCAATCAAGTGCATGATATCAATTAAATAATCCGTAAAGTAAACGCCAAGATTTTTTCCAATATTAACAAGGAAATGTGTAAAGTAATTTTTTCCGATTTTCAATACAAACAGTTAAAAAATATAAAGATTATTCTCTAAATGCAGTTCAAAAAGGTAGAGATTCATTTTTTACACGTATAATATTAAAAATAATAAAAGAGAATTAATTCTTCAAAATTAAAAATGTTATATAAAAGAGAAGGAATGAAAATGTAATTAATATTATATACAAATTCTCTATCACATTAATTATGCTTCCTAATATACTAGGTAGATATACTAGACTTATCGTATCATCGATTAATGAGAAATTTCCTCGGAAACTCCTGAGGTTATTTGAAGACAATTTTTCCTCAGCAAAAATGTCGAAGCACCAATAATTTTTAGTTATATATTTATGAGTGATTGAAGATAATTTTTCGCAAACTAAGCCTTGTGAAAATAAAAAAAATAACAAAACTACATTATTTAGTTAAGTTTTAAGTAGAAGTTACTTCAATAGAATTTTAATTTAATTGTTAGTTACGAAGATATACATATAATGACAAAAATTGGAACATACAAAAAATAATGACCTTCCTTGATATTTTCGCTGAGGAAAAATCGTCTTGAAATGACCTTAGGAATCTTCCATTAATGAGTGATGGTAAGTCTGGGACACTTTGTATATATGTGTTTAATTTTATATATAAACGCGCGCGTGCGCGTGTTATTATTATATTTATTGCTATAATTCATAAAGTTCACATTATAAAATAGACATTATTTACTTAGATTGTGTTGATAATAATAAATTATTATAAATATTGATAGAAAATATATATCAGTCTTTGTGCATTAAAAAATTATTTGTTTGTAAATAGTAGCATATTTTTTATAAATATTTAATGCATATATATAATTTTTTCTTTCTCACGATGGTTTTTTACGTAATTTTCCTATTTTAATAAATTAAGCGACTTACTGGCAATGTAAATTAAAACACTTTTATTATTAACAGTTTAGTATTAATATATTCCCTACTGTTTAATTAAAAGTGAAATTTATTATGTGGTAGATAATGTCGAGCGATAATTATGTCGAGAATGCATACAATGCTAGTTTTCTTCTATATATGTTAGTATGTTTTACTTCCGCGAAAATTATATTCGATATCAGTTATATACGATACTAACAATAAGAGAAAAAGGTATATTTTTATCGTATTATCGAATCCAGATCAAAGACTAAGGAAAAGATAGCATAAAGTGATAATTTTAAAAATAAATAAAATCTACGACGTGTAATTATCATCATTCTAACACATAAATCATTGTAAATATATAAAGTGATATAATATAACTTTATGACACAATATACAAATTGAAGGAGTATTTCTGAAATCATTAAAAAATATTCTATAAATATGGATTCAGAATAAAACGATTATTTAGATTTATCTCGAGATTTACATACGTTATTACTACTGAAGAATATAATTTTTTACCAATTTAAGTGATTTTTAGATTTTGTTCCTTATTTACATGTTTATTTATTTTAAGTCAATTGTCAATTTTTCAATTTTTAATAATAAAATATTTTTCAAAAAATTATGCATTTAACGATGAATTTTAATATCTAGATAACCATTTACAAATTAAACTTACGCTTATTTATATGAAATTTTCTATTAACAATGACTTCAAAAATATTGTATATTACATCATAAAATATGTTGTATATTTACATATTTCTTTGTAAAAATTTGTTCCGTGTTAATTACTTATCTTCTTTAATTAATTCTTTTTCTTCCTTTTTTCCACAAATTAAAATTTTCCGTATAGGAATGTAATATAAATCTTCTATTGATTTCATTTGGAAAGATATTTGATGAAAATTCCTAATTTATGCAGAGAAAAGAATGCAGTGAATAAAAAATTCGACGATACTGATGCAAATAAAGTAATATATAAATAAAATATACGCACGTGTCGAATTTCAGTCAATAATGCAACTTTTTCCAGACATCTACCTATGTGTAAAACTGATTTCTGCATAGTTGTAAAAAAATCGTAGCTTAATAAATAAAATTATATCTATTATCTGAGATAACAATTAGCTAAATAACGAAAATAGAATTTATGGATGTCGATAAACTGTTGAATAGAAGAGGTATGTGTACAAGGAAATTTAATTAATAATATCTATACGTAAGATGCAAAGAGGGGCTGTCTCCTTTAAATCATCGATTAATTTTTCTGCACATACGCGTTATAGTGGCATCTCGTGCAAATAGGATCTGAACAGGCTTTAACAATGTGAAAGCGTCTGATACGAGCCGCTCTCGTAATACGCGCGCGAATTAAATCGCACGGAGGAAGCGGCGGATTACGCGAGCTAGTCGTCGTTACAGCGATTTCATTGAACTAACTCTAAATTTAAATGCGACGAAGAATCGGTTCAAAATAGTTCCGCTTACGCATATGGTCGGTATTTTTGCATTTGCTCTGAAATTCTGTTGCTCGATAATAATCGATGCTTAGCTAATAATTTACCGACGACTGACATTTGATATTTTGCATGCATCAGTATCGTCGAATTTCTTATTCGCTGCATTCATTTCTGCATAAATTAGGAATTTTCATCAAATATTTTTCCGAATGAAATCAATAGAAGATTTATATTACATTCCTATACGGAAAAATTTTAATCTGTGGAAGGAAGGAAGAAAAGAAATTAATTAAAGAAGATAAGTAATTAACATGTAGCTGACGTTTTATATTTTATGTGGTAATATAAAATGCGATATTGAAGTAAAATCTTTCTTTATATAACATTCCTCTATATAGCATTTAAAAGTTAAATTAATTTCTTTGAATTTCCAACAATGTTCTTTTGTTTTACCAGCAATATTTTAAACTAAATTGTCAAGATTCACGCTTTTGATACAAGAAAAAAAGAGAGAAAAAATTAGAAAAATTATTTAAAAATATTTCTTATTTGTCGTAATTTTCTTTATAATTTTACATTCAAAATAAGACAAATATATATAAAAAATACACAGAGAAAAAATATAGAATGTGCAATCAAAAGAATTCGTATTTAAATCACGGAAAAGTGCAGAATAAGTGCAGTTAAAAAGAAACAGAGTAAATGCTATCTTTCGAACGGCGAGTGTCCGCGCATCGCGAACGGATGCTCCGATAAGGTTAAGTTTACTCCGACAATCGGATCCGAGGAATTTGAACGACTGTCCCGAAGACGAGTCGCCTCGCACCAGGTCGGGGGATGTCAAAGCGTGCGAATATGACATGTCGCTTTGAAAGGCTCGTAGGATGCGAATGTTTACTTACCTGTTTGCCTCGAATGACGATGACAAGCGCGGCGCCGGCCGCGGTGAGGCCCACGTGAACAGGGTTCCGAGGAGCGCCTGAGTGATCGGTGAATGATCCTTGAGCATCGCGTGTCACATCGGGCGAGAGCCGCTACGATTGACGCGTGGAGTGTGTCTTGCGGCGAACTGTGCGTTCGCGGACGCAAGAGCCGAACGGGAAGCGCGAGATCTCGGTCTACGTGCCGCACTCAGTCCCCCGCACTGCTTATCTCAACCACCGCGCGCACCACCGACATCGGGGGCCACCACTACCACCGTCGTAAGAATGTGCACAACACCACTACGCTCCAACCGTCCCGTTGTGACTTCCGTGAATCGAGACTTCCGAATATCGCAGGCGCGACCGAACACACACACACACACACACAACTACACTTCACACACGCGCGGATCGGAGCATGCGTGCGCGAGCGAGACCATCTTCGATTTCTCCCTCGCGCGCCGACAAGCGGGGTTGGTCACGTCCGTGACGTCACGCGGTCACTGCGTTCGCGGCCAACTTCCGACATGTCGGCCAACGGATGGATCGCGCGCGACGTTCATACGTTACCGTGTACGTGTTAGTCGATCTGTCTCGGCGCCGCGTCTCGAGGTCTCGCGTACGAACCGGTTGTCAACGATGTCAAGGTACTTCCCTTGAGCCGATCGGTCACTGATTCGACGGTGAAAACGCCGGTACGCGAGCGTATTTTGAGAAAACGGAGCGGTTTTTTGCGCGCGCGACGTGACCTGCGGCGTTCGTCCGGACGGAAAGGAAGGCGCCACCGTCGACCCATAATAATGTATAGTACATAGAGAGCAGACGACGCACTCGAATTGAACTGTCAACGTACCAACATGGCGTCCGCAATGGTAGGTGTACGGCCCGATCTTTCGTACAATCGACCGCATAATTATGCTACATTTTTTTTCCTTTTTTTTTAGTCCTAATGAGTCTTCCGAAGTATATTTGATTGTCTCGTATGCGAAATATAAGAGTCGTGTTTTGTTACGGAGGAGATCTCGAGAATAATTCTAGTTGGCGAGAGATTATCGGTGGAAAATCGTTCTGACATTCGCACACATTTCCGTATGTATATATTAGCGTAAAAAGGGTTCGTATATATGTATATATATATGATAGTTATGTTCCGGTTCTAATTTGCCTTATAGAGCAAACGTGGATAAACGTTGTGTCTCCGGGCTTTAATTTCGTTCATTTGTATTTCTTTCGTTTTTCAAGAAATATTTTACGCTTCTTCATCCACATACATGCATAAGTGGTAATATGATGATAGTGAAGATATAACATGACAAATGTGTGCTTGATATATTTATTTAAAATGTTCTATGATCTCGTTTGTAGGTACCTTTGCTGATGGATGACGATGCAATTACTTTTGGGGAGGAAGAGGAGACTGGCCAAAATGCCAACAAACTCAAGTATGTATTATAAAGATATGTCTTTTAATTTGCAAGAATAGATGGTATCTTTGTAAAATTATATATAATTTCCTTCTAGACATCCATATGTTACACTGTTCCACTTGGCCTTTAGGATAGCAGCTATAGTAGTTTATATGCTTTGTGGTTGGTTTTCAAATAGCTTTATAGCGAGTTTTGTAACAGTGGTACTACTTTTATCAATGGATTTTTGGACCGTTAAGAATATCACGGGAAGATTAATGGTTGGCCTCAGATGGTGGAATTATGTGGATGATGATGGCAAGAGTCATTGGGTGTTTGAATCTAAAAAGGTTTGCTTGATATATATTTTATATATATTTTAAAATATATTTCGATTTGTTACTATAATAACAAGATTACTTGACTTTTATTAAATTTTGAATAATTAACAAAAAACTGCTATTTATATATAAAGAAAATATTTCTTCTGGTAGTGACCCTATAACTGCAATTAATTTATTTTTATATTTAAAGAAAATGTAAGCTTATATCATTTTATGTCACATATTATATTACACATTTTTTTGTCAAATGAATTATTATAAATTGTAATTCTTTGAATCATTACATTTTTTATTTGTCATGTTCTAACAACTGCTAATTTAAACAGATTGAATTCAAGGTTCATCAGCTGTCATATGTTTCTATACCCTTGACATTTTCTAAAATTACCATTATTGCTTATGCATATTATAAATAAATTATTACATAATGAATTTATGCTCCATTGCACAATTGTAGATATTTATTTAAATATAGCTGATATAAATTAGATTACATATAATTTTAATTTATATAGATCCAATGCCTGTTATGTACCCTGTGTTTCAGGGTGCACAACAGAACCGCATTAATGCAACAGAGGCTCGAATCTTTTGGTTGGCGTTAATCTTGTGTCCACTTTTTTGGTCTATATTATTCATTGTTGCATTGTTTGGTTTTAAATTCAAGTGGCTTTTACTCGTCTGCATTGCCATTGTTTTGAATGGTGCAAATCTATATGGCTATGTTAAATGTAAAATGGGAAATGATAAAAACATTTCAGCAGCCACCAGTGATTTCATCAGAAAACAAGTGTTACAAAACGTATATATATTTATATATTATAAATATATATGTACACAATTTATATATGAAGATTTATCAAATAATTTGTTTTACATTTATATTTATTAAATTCTTATTCCATTTTGCTACAGGTTACTTCAATTATGGTCAGGAGTCCTCCAACGAATAATTCCAATCAACCAACTAATGTAATATAAATTTGTAAATTTATAAACACTAATGTGTGTCATCGCAAATTCATATATATGTCCGACAATTTAATAAATAGTTGTGTATATAATAATGTTAAACAGTATCTTTTAAGTATTCTATAAAATAAATCTTTATATATAATCATTCTATTATAATATTTTAATAGGATTTTAATGGGGTGTTTCCTGGGATGTCAAAGGAAATTAAAATGAACATTTATATTAGAAAAGCCAAGTTTACGTTAGTACTAGTTTATTAATGCCGCGAGGCAATACATAATGTACACGGTATTTTTCCTTGTCAACAGACTCTTCCTATTACACAATATTTATTTTGTATAGTTGTTAATTAGTAACATTGCATTTATCGTCAGTTTACCTCAGCCTGTTGTATTCTTTCTGGCAAGAAAGTATCACAAAATAATTTCCCATTCTTTCAACGATATTTAGTATTTGACTTATTCTTTGCTTTTTTAAATTCATATTCTTCGGATCTGCGACAGTCGCTTTACTGATTCATCTACAGATGAAATTGAGGCGATCTTATACACAGTAATAAACTCGCTATATATTGCACGGAGCTATATAAAGCAGCCGATCGTATTTTATTATATTATCAAAAGTGCTCCGAAGACACACGCGAGTTGTGTACGTTTTCAAGAAGAATACAACAAACCACATATTGCTATACATTTTAGGTCATAAAAAAATTATAGAGACTAACAATAATCATGCTACTAAAGTACAATTTATACGAAAGTTTTGGAATGATATAAAAAAACTTAGCAATATTACAATTATGTTATAAATGCACGAATATTGTGGACTTCTCTTTGTAACAGTAAATTTTAGTGATTAATGATAGATTAATAATACCAACTTATAACTAGTAGTATATTTATACAATAATTTAATTTCGTTTTTTTTTTTTTGTAACATATTTTAGTCTGAAATTTTAAACATGAAGCCATTAAGAGAGTTGGCAAAATATATATATGTTGATAATAATTAATAATTACATTGAAATCTCTCAAAATTGAGTTCAGTTTTTTGCACAAAAATTCTGCCAAGTTTACTGCTATTAAAAACTTAATGTTTTACATTATTATTATTATTATTATTAGAAAAATGTTTAATGAAGATGAACGTTTAATGATTTATTACAGATGAATACCTATAATGATTTGAAAGTTATTTTTAGCAAAAGTCTTCAATTTCTCTTTTCCAGAATAATAAAACCAATGTGTACAGGGCGTTTGACTTTGAAAGTTTACGAGCTACCAATTTCTTTATCAAGAAATTTCAATTAGCAAATACAACTTCACCAAAATAAATAGTTTAAGTACTTTAACACTAGGTTGTAAATTTTTGAATAATTGTACAATGTATTGAAGAATCAGATAAAAGTATTTCAATGAAACTGAATTAATATTATTTACAGGTGAAGTCTTCCGATACATATAATTATACAACACATAATTGTTAAAATATTCATTCTTATTTTATGTGTCTTTAATATATTGTTTTGGGTTTTGTGTCTAAGTTTTCAGTCATATATTGTTGAGCTAATAAACATTATTCAGTCATACACCATGTATATAACATTTTATTAGCAATCTTCAAGAATGTGAATCAGTTGGGTGAGGTTTTAAATACCAATTGCAGTCTTTAAAATTATGCATAGAATCTGAGAAAAAAAGATAGATTTTCGAAAACTTTTTTGTTTTGTTAAAAAGTATTCATGATATAATTTGCATTAAAAAAAATGTTGATTAGGTATTTATATATTAAACTTAATTTTGACTAAAATAATGCATATATAAATTTGCATTTATAGGAAGAAACAAATAAATTATATGACAAATACTGTATAAATATACACTTTTTATTAAACAAAAAATACTTGAAGCTGCATGTTATGTAAATAGGTTATGGATATATTCTGAAGGCCAAATACTATCGAGATTCGAGATCGAGTTGTAAGAAAGGCTGCCAACATTATGAAAATTAACTTAACGTGAAACCACCGCGAAACGCGATAAGTGTCATTCATTTAAAATAAGTGTATCGTAAATTTAACTTGTTAATATTATGCAGTGAAATTTGAGACGTAAGGCAAATCGTAGAATTATTTTTATAACTAGTATTATCATTATTATTATTATTGTTACAAGTAGTAGTATAATTATTATCATTACATTATAAATTAGTGAAAAATGTCATGGTTTATAAATAGTTTAACAGGCAGTGAAAAATTTGATGTAATTATGTAATGATATTCGTGAATTTTAATGGTAATGAAATAAATTAGTACTTTTTCAAACACAAAAAATGTATAATATTAAATGCTATATGAGATGGCCCTCAGTTTATGAAAAAAAGTTGAAAAATATATATACTAGTAATAAAGCAATATCTTTTTAGTTTAATGCATCTTTCCAAATCATAAAATAAGATTTTACACACAAACTCTCAATGTATATAGAAGTTGAAACAATATAATAAACACTATTAAAAAAATAGTCCTTTAAATAGTATCAAAAAAATGTAAAATTTGAATAAAAGGTATACAAAGAATTAAATATTATGAGTATAGACATGTACTGAGTAGATTACACATTCTTTTTTTCAATTAAAACTTAACGTGTAGTCTGGAAAATACCCATATGTTTTTAAATATCTTCATGTCTTTTATGCACAACACTCGCATCTCTTTATGATATTTATAATATATATCTATGTTATATATATTATTCATCATTTTATATATATATATATATATATATATATTTTGTATATATTTATGTAATGTTGCTAATGACAGACGGTGCATTTATTTACAGATAGTCACAATTCCTGACCCTCGAACCACAGTAATTAATGAAAAAAGGAATATAAACTTGTACAATATCATGGAAATCATGGAACTGTCAACAAAATGTGATATTACATGCTGGATATCAGTATCGGGTATGTTTCATAGGTATAGAATATAGTTACAACCAAAAGAATGCCAAAAAACAAAATCTAATCCGATCAATAAAGTTTTTGAGCACTACACTGAGATAACATTCATATTTGTTATTACATTTACACTTTTTTAAATCAATAGTTTCTAAAGTGTATACATACAAGATGGTATATCGAACAATATTATACAAATTTAGAAGTACAGAAGATGTAAATAAGTGCACAATTATTGTCTTCATAGATTAAAGAGTTTGCAATTTTAAATTGCAATATACATAGTGAAAGTTTTTGCTATAAAATGAAAATGTTATGGTAAAAAAAATTAATTAGCTCTTTTTTAAAATCATTAGTGATAGAATTGACTATTAACTGTTATATATAAATGCAATAGCAGTATAAACACAATAAAAGTAGTATTAAGTACATTCATTTTGATTTTATAAAAACAATATGATTTTATATATAAAAACAAGGTGATTAACGAGTTCAATTTTATTAAATCACAAATGATTTTATAAGAAAAAATATTTTGATTTCTTACAAATTCACTAACATAGTAATTCTATGAAATCAAATATTTTATAAATTTGCAAAGTTAAATATTTTTACCATAACAGATATATTGTATAGCAATATTCCATTCAATATGCATTTTTGGCATTGATCTGGCATTTGAGAAAAGAAACGAATATTTTAAATATTGATAAATTTAATATATCATTAACAGATGTGATCCTGTATGAATTTAATTTTGATATATATTTGTACAATTATATACGAATAGAAAAATAAGCTAATATACGCAAAGATAAATAAATTTATAGTGCACTATCTATTTGAACATATTTAAAAGGCAATCAGAAATATTCAAGGTAGAAGCTACATTAGAACTTTGTACATAAAGGTATCGAGGGCTCGGAAGAACACTACACAAATTACACATACAGTGCTTCTATGTAAATTAGTTTTTTTTCTTTTATAGAAATGTGCACACAAATTCATTTGTGCACTTTTCATTGAATATAGGCACCGTTTCCTTTCATCCTTCTTTCACTCGAATCATTTTCATCATTTCCCTAATGGCATCGCTTAATCTAGTCTTAAAACAATTTTTTTCTTACGATCTATCTAACATTATTATAATAGGTAAAATGAGAAGATCCCTACTGTTCATAACGAGTACAGCATTAATAATTGTCAATTTGGCAGTATGGCAATTTTCTTGTCTCTTGTGAGCGGAAATTTTCATCTCTTTTTCTCTCTCTTTCTCTCTTGTAAAGCTAAAGAAAGTTATTTAGTTAATTTTTTCATTCTGTTATTTTTTTTTCTACATCAGTAAGTACTCGAGTACGTAAAACGTATCATATACGGTTATTGTAGATTTTTATCTTCACATATGTATGTGTTTCATACATATGTGTAGTGCATTACTTTGTTTCTCACATACAGCATCACCATCAACCCTTTTATTCTTCTATGCAATCGCTACTGAAGGAAGCACTCTTATCTTCAATAAACGAGAAAGGTTTGATGTCTCAGTAAGAGGTACCCAGACATGTAATGCACTATATTTTATAAGTGAGAGAGATATGGTCGTAATATTTTCAGTCTATCTTAGAATTAGATTATCTAGATCTTAAAAAATGCTTTTGCGAATGATTGATTCGATAATGAGATATGTTCCAATTTACTAATTCACGAATGTGAATCGCCTACGCGGTTCGTAATTTTGATTACATCATCGTACTTAACTGACCTTTCAATGTAAGAGGATCTGAAAATTAAAAAGTTCACTTTGTTCGCACAAAGGAAAGAACGTATATAGGACAATATACGACATCGTCGTTTATACAATCGCGCGTATTGTATGTATTTCTAAACGGCAGTTTTGACTCGCGTTTTAAAAACTGCGAGGGAACTTTCGAATCTAATTTCTAAAAAGAGATTATCTAAATTGATGAATGCTTCTCAGCACGATTCGGACATTTGTTATATCATCAAGAATGAAAATTTCCGGCATATTTGCATTTACTGTAACATCATTAACTAAACATTTCATCTCCTATGTTAACTGCCCACGACATTAGTAATCGCGTTACTATTGTATTTCTTCTTGGAAGGTACGAGTATGTCACACGATTTTATTGTACTAGACACGTCGTACTTTTGCTCTCTCAACATCTCTCTCGCCTCTTTGCCGGTCTCGCTTGTCTCTTGACAGATCTCTCTGTTCGCGAGTGTCGGCTTGTCAGTTGGCATAGTGATCAAAAGACCCTAAATATTCCAAACTGGCTCGATAACAAAACTGGTATTGATCCTGAAAAAAGAAAATTATTACAGACATTGTTTTTACGTGTATACACATGTATAAAATATATAATAGAATTTATATAACATAATATATATTATAGTAAAATAATAAAATATATATATAATATATTTTATATATTAAATATTATATAATAAATAAACTTATATATAATGTATGTTACACATATATTACATATAACAACATATGTACGCGCGTGTGTAATTTATGTATATTTTATGGAACATTAAAATTAACATATTTACGAACCTCGGTTTGAACCATAGCCGGACGTTGCGTGCGTAATATTCTCACAGTCTGGAAAATATCGACCACACCTTCATACTGCATTCGCTCTAGTACGATGCTAAGTGTTATGAAGACACCCGTTCTTCCTACACCGGCACTGCAATGTACGGTGATTGGTCCATCTTGACCGAATTGTTCCTTTGTTTTGTGCACCTGACCGATAAAGTCGATGAAACCATCACCAGACTTCGGAACCCCTTGCTCCGGCCAGTCGATGAATTGGAATTGTCTGACCGTACGGCTGGCACCATCGCGCGCATCCGTCACCTTGAATTCTCGCAAAATGTATTGCGGCATATTATATTCCGCGATTGGATCCACGACGAAGCACTGGTAACGGATAGATCGGTCGGACGGCCAGTACTGGTGACATTTCTCTCTGCCCATCTCCTTCAATTTCGTTAGCATGACAACGATCGTGGAATTGTGTTCCCATAGCATGCGCCAAAAATCGTCGGTGGTGTCGCATAGAGGACCTTGTGTCGCTATGTAAGCTGCTCGATAACGATATCCGTCGATCAAACTCGCATTTATGTAATCGGATCCTTCGATGTTACGTTGCGGCTGCAGGCACACTCTAGTACACTCGTAAGGCAGAATGTGGACCAATCGATTTTTGTGCTTGTTGCACGGTAAATTCGCGGATATGAATCTAGTAGAATCAGCCTTGATGTTTGAAAGCTTTTTGAATTCCAATTCCATTCCTGTTATATTGTCGATTTCCGGTTGCATAAGCTTTTGAATATGGGAATGCAGATTTCTGGCCGGTACCTCCGTATTACCGCAAATCACTGCTTCGAGCAGAGCGTCGTGAATGAAAATGTATTGATCCTCGGTTTGAACCATGTAATTCCTCTGAGCTCGTAGACATGTGACGTGGCCATAAATGTCGATCATTTTCTCATGCTTAATCCTTTCTAGCATCGAATCTATCACGATAAAGCAACCAGTTCTTCCTACGCCGGCGCTACAATGTACTACTAACGGTCCGCTATCGGGTACGTTAAGTGACCTGACTCTCCGTAAGAACTGCAAAAATGGTGCGGGGTGTTCTGGTACGCCGTGATCGGGCCAAGCCGTGAATTGCAATTGCTTTATTTCCCGTCGCTCGGAATAACCCGCTCGACAAACCTGGAACGTGCGGATACAATAGGTTGCTAGCTCTTGAATATCGCTGATAGTCACGGTCATTTGTCCATAAGTCTCGGAGCCTCTAGTAGGCCAGTACTGATCGCATTTAATCCTTGTTCTCTCTTCCAATTTTGTCATCATCACGATCGTGCTGGTTCGCAATTCCCAGCACATACGCCAAAAGTCCCCAAATGTCTCCTGCAACGGTCCTTGCGTGGCCACGTATGCATTTTGTTTTCTATAACCATCGCAGTAATTAGCATTGATGTAATCCGACCCCGGCATGCCATCGACAGTTTGAAGAATAACTCGCGAATGATCGTATGCGATTACATTGGCGTAACGATTTTTCGACGCATTGACTTCCATATTGGAATGGTCCCACGTGAATTGTTGACCAGGTTCTATCGACTCGTATTCTTGACTGAACTTGAGATTGTCGTTCGCTTTCAGACGTTCGATGTGATTGCCTAATTCGCTGATTGGAATCGGTGGGTGTGAAATCATGCCTGGTGTTTGGAAATTCAATCGTCGCATTTCTACCGGATCTGACGGTGCGTGATTCGAACTTATATCCGCCGCCATGAGTGGTCGTGTAACAGCTGCTTGATCTGGTGCTTTACACGGTTGTCTTCGTCTGAAATAATTAAGAAGGGAAAGTTATGAATATACAACTTTTACTTGAAGGTTTTCAATTATTCTTTTTTTTTTAAACGCAACTTACTTTTTAATGACAAATAGAAGAACAAGACAAACGCTGACCATCAATGCTGCGATTATCGGACCAACGACCCACACCATACCTGGTTCTTGACCGCTAGTTTTTACAGAAACTTCTGGATTTCCATCCGGAGGAGTATTGGGATTCGGTCGACGTGGTGGTTCGCCGGGAGGTACTTCTCTCATGTCCAAAGATAAATACTCGGAAAATGGTGACGACGTGTACAAATGCTAAGGAAAAACGAATATTTTTTTTATAAATAATTATCGAATTATACATTCTCGTGCGCTAAGCGTTGGCTAAAGACTCAGTGTAGCTTACCTTTCGTGGAGTATCGACTACTGCCCGTACGAATATTCTATAACGTTTATTTTTTGTGAGTTTTCGATTTTCGTATCCCTCGTAGATATCTCCGCTGCCTAAATGGAACGTATACGGGATGTCTCTGTGTGGAAACTTGGCTGCGATGTAGGGTGCGTTTTCTCTCTCTTGCTTGCTACCTTTTCCAGTAATCATATCCTCAGTTAATTCATCCGGCTGTTTATCGGCGGTACTTTTGTCTTCGGGCACGACGATCAGATAATAGTGCGAAATCGGGCCGTATTCTTCGGATGCTTGCGGTAGAATAACTTGAATCTCTTCACCATTAACCACACCATAGAAGTCCGGCTTCACCATTGGTTTGGGTGCGGCCATCTGCGTGGTGACCGTAATTTTCGCTGGTGGTCTATACTGACCATCGCGTGGTACAGCGCTCACGTTAACGTTATAAGTTGTAAACGGCTGTAACTCGTTTATCATCGTGGTCGTTGTTTGAGGATCCAATAACATTTGTCTGCGAGGAACAATTTGCGTCTGTGTTATACCCTGAGAATCCACAAACTCTTTAACGGCATCGAACGAGACTTTGTATTTCATCGGAGTCAGTCTTATGGGCGGAGTCCAGGACAGAGTCATCGAGTGTGTCGATGAGTCCGGTGCTCTAAGGTTTAGCGGTACATCTTCCGGTTTTACTTTCACTGTAACCTTTTCGCTAAGTCTTCCTAGACCGGACTTATAGCGTGCAGCTACTGTTATAGCGTACTGAGTGAATTTCTCTAGATTTATTAGATCCGCCGATTCCGTCAGGCCGACGCTCTTCTGCTTCCACTCGTCCAAGTCTTCTACAGCGGTTGTTGTATAGAAGATTTGATAACCGACAATCTTCCCTCTGTTAGGCACTGGTTCCCACCACACCTCCACGCTGGAATCCGACGTGGCCACTGCTCTTACAGACATCGGAGCCCGACCGATATCCTTCTCCGTCATTATTGTGATTTTCTCGGAATACGGACCGCTACCTTGTGACGTATGCGCTCGCACATGAAAAACGTACTCCGTGTTCTCTTCTAGATTGGTGAATACCGCCCTCGTCTTGGTCGTGTTTCTATCTGTAGTACTAGAATGATCGTTCTTCTTGTTGAATTGCACGTCATAGCCGATTATCTGGCCATTTCTATGCTGTCGAAGTGGTTTATCCCAAGTAACGCATACGGTGTCGGGAGTTTGAAAGAAGTACGACAAATTCGTTGGTGGCCCCGTAGGTTCGCCTTCCGGACTGAACCAGTATCGCACAGTCTCCTGGCCGAAGCCGATGTCATTTTTACCGGCTACTCTGAACTCGTAATCAACACCTTGTTCTCCTATAGATTTATAATGTAAAGAAATAGTTTGTTAAATATATATGTAGATAAAAGAGAGTGAGATAGAGAGTATAATTTATAAAAATAAATAAAGATAGATAGCAAATTTGATCGTATAATAAGTATAAAAAAGAAAGGAAAATTACCAAACAGACATAGTCTGTATCTTTAAAATTGATATCATACTTTTACAGAATAGTATATTAAGTACTTAATATTTCTCACCGAGATCTGTAATTTTATACATATGTGTCCGCGTGCCCTCGATAAATTCCTCTTTGAGTGTCTGATTCTTTATACCGTATCGAATACGATATCCTTGCAGAGTACCGTAGGTTTGAGTGGGTTGGACCCATTCGAGTTCCAAGACATCCGGGCCTCTACTTAGTACTCTGAAAAAGTAACAGATAAATGTATAAAAGAATCGATCACTCGCGATATTTTATAAATATATATAATATTTTCTAGTTGACGTTTCTTACTTCACGTTGACTTGCGGCCTGTTTGGTACTCCGCCCGGTGTCCTAATGTGAGTCGGCACCGAACGATCTCCGTCTCCTTTTCTCGTTAATGCTGCCACTTGCACCGAGTATCTTGTGTCCGGTTGTAGTCCGCTAATATTCACCTCTAGCACGCCATCCTCGTGCACGTCTCGACGTATCGGTTCATTCAGTAGATCTTTCCCTAGAGAAATTATAATTTTATCGTGAGCTCATTATCTATTTCATTATCTATTTTTACATTATATTTTCCATTGTTTCATTTAAGACAGACGTTATTATGTAAGGCGTGTGACTGTTAATGTAATAATTTAGAACAAAAATTGCAGTTTATTAAAAAAAATTAGATATGTGTTCACCTCTATATTAATACGTTCTATTAATTAACAAGAGGATATAGGAAGTAAAGATAAAAGGCCTTCCTGATATAATACATGAATAGGAGGATGATAGAACAGATATATAAGATTTCATTAGTAAGTTTCATGTTAAGAGTTTGAAACTTCTAATGCTATGCTATTGATCGTGTAGCAACCGCAAACTGACCTCCTCCCTCACTTCTTGCACATGTATGTGGTATCCTCGTATAACGCCGTTCTGATCTTTCGCTTTTGGCGGCTTCCATTCGACGTGTATTGCCGTCGAGTTGATCGACGTGACTTTGACGTCCTGAGGATCTCCCGGCACTGTAACGCAATCCATAATTAATTCGCGCACTTTATGCTCGTCTAACGTCACACTCACAGACACACGCCCATGTATACCCACAGACGTACGCGGACAGGAGATAATAAATAACGGGTTTACATAATCTGAAATAACAAATAATATACTTGTATAAAACTTAAAGAAACTAATTACGAAAAAAATGAAAGAATATTTAAGTCGTTCGTATTCTGTCTTGTTTTCCAAAAGATCATTACGTACAATCATTAGTATTGTTATTTACATCCCAGAAGCAAAAGAAAATGTTAGAGGCAAGCGTTAATATATCAAGTAGCCGAAATACATCCTTTGTCGCATCCTTTGTGAGAAAATGTTGAAAAATTAAAGGAAAAAAAAGCGAGAAGTAGAATTAGTCTTTTTATACAACGCGATGACATTTCTTTTACATTCTACTACTTTATGTCCATCCGTCCAATTCGTCGCTGTAACGGAAATGAAAAAGAAAAATAAACGATAGAGCGAGAATAAGGTAGCGCGAATAAGATACAATCGAAAAAGAAACGAGAAGGCGTACCAGCGGAAAGAAAAATCATAAGTAAAATAAGTTGTCGCGAAAAAGAAGAAAGAAAATGAAACGAGATATAAATGAAAGAAATGAAGAAGTAGTGGAGAGAAGGTAATTACATGCCGCCAATCACACATGGACAAAACGACGTACAAACAATATTTACGAGGCACATTGTACCCCATGCTCTACGCCCCTAATTACGATTATATGATCCTCCATTTGAATACCAATAATACTTTTTTTTTCCTTTTTTATTTTTTTTTACTTTTTATTTTTTTTTCTTTAGCTCGCGTTTTTCGGTTCGCGCGTCTTCGCGTATGCAAACGCACGTAGATAACGTCACCGAGTATATACGGTCAAGTACGCGGTAACGTTGGACACGATAACACAGCGGCAATATTGGAGAGTCCATGACTTTTGAGAGAGACCAAGTGGATGTTTGAACGCGAGTTTTCGCAGAGGGCAAGTGTGCATAACGAATGCACCACCTAGTCGAGGAGAGTCCCGAAAGTTAGCCGCGACAAAACGGGAGTCTCACGCTCCTTGGACCGGATGCAGCGGCGGTGGCGGTAAATATGCACGTCGCCTATTTACAACGTTTATTTACAACCAGGACCGACATCCGGTGCAAGTTGCGAGAGACTCGCCACTTTCACACGACTACATGTTTTCGCGTCAACGTTTCGCAACTTCTGAACGTCGCGATTCCAGAAGTTGTTCGAACGACAAGATAACTCGATTGTTCTTTCATGGACGGTCCAGTATTCGTCGTCGCTAAACGGCTAGTTATTAAGAGAGAAATGGGAAACATAACGTGGGGAGAACAAAAAATCCAAGATAAAAACCAGCACTGCCTAATTCCTACTTCCGCACGATATATGTATAATGTACGTATATGTAATTAATAATAGCAGGTTTCTACGATGGGAAGAGATTCGCAAAAAACGAAACTTGCGCCGCAACGAAAATACATACAGAAAATTTCGACGCAGAAACTGAATTGTCGTAGCGCGGTTTTGATGAGAAGCGATTGGTAGATCGCGTGCTCGCTCTGCTTTTTTCTAGCTTTCATATATATATACAATTAAGTAAGATCAAGATCACACTTACAATTTCGCTATGTAGCGCAAAAAACAAGGACGGCGAGCGCGCGCAAGTCGCAGCGTAATGTATGTAATGATAACATGTCTTTTGAGAGTTATTATGTCGTAATATATATAATACATATTCGCTGGCTGCAGCAAACAAAAAGAAATAACTGTAGGACAACACTCTGAGATTCGACTCTTTCGACAGACAACAAAAGAAGAGTATATATGTGATATATATATATATATGTATGCAAAAAAATGAGACGGTGACAAAAAGAAAGAGTGAAACAAAAATTGACGGTATAGAAAAATATCATGGCACAACTCGAGCTAAGGGATACTCACTTTTTTCAGCTGCGCCCCAAAAGTCGCCAAAAAAGTGGGAAAAAAAACTCGTAAAAATTCGTGTCAACTTCGCACGTACATTGAATATAAAATATTACAATGTAATTTAATTACTTTTTAAGGCATATCACAATGGGTAGCACACTACTGATTATATCATCAAAAATTGACCCTCGCTATATATAATGGCTATTCTCGATTTTACGATAAAAAAAAAGTATATATAAAAGAGATCTCTTTATATCCTTCTCTTCTCGAAGCAGGCACGCGCTCGCATTCGCTCGATTCGGTCCTTTCGCTCCGGCCTCATGCGCTCGATGACACTCGTACCGCTTATTTAATCTCGCAACTTCTAACGAATGTCGGTGGCAACAAGATTCATGATTCCAATCGATCGTTAAATAGACCAAAAAAAAACTGATCGCTTGGCCCTCGGTTGCAGTTGGTCGCAGAGAGGCGGGAGACGTGAGAATATCTTTTTTTTGGCATGCGCAATCACTACTCCAAATATGAAATAACTAAAGGCTCATGTTCACCTGCCTCGTGTCGGGGAGCAAAAGCTAAATGTATCTCACGTGTCTCGAAATATGCTCGACGTATATTTCGCAGCTGCCGATGGCAATAATCTCAGAACGGAAAATCGAGATCTCGGATCTCCCTTATCCTCTCCCGACACGAGACATTAAAGAGGGAAAGACCTATGATAAAATGCCTACGAAAAGAAAGCTATAGGAAGGAGACAAAACCATAAGAAAGAATAAGGTGGAAACGGTTTCTAGGATGTATCAAACGAGAGAAGGGTTTTATCGTATTGCTACGGTATTCTATAGAACTTGGGCAGTCGTGAGAAAAACTCGCGATTCCTCTCGTGACATTATCGTCAAAAAACTCACGGTACAAGATATTGGGATACATGTCGGTAGGGCGGAGTGTCTTCTGAGGAAAAATTGTTTTTCTTTTTTTCTTTTTGCAACTCCAAAAAGTCACCCGCAAAAAACAGCAGCTCGATCAAAAACTTTTGTCGTTTCAGCAAAGGGGGAGGCAACAGGGTAAATTAAAGAGAGAAAGAGAGAAGATAAGAGAAAGACAGAGGCAGAAAGGATAAGACAAACAGGAGAGTGAGACCTCTCTCTTTCTCTCTCTCTCTCTCTCAATTTAGATACCATAAAAAGGTATCCCGCTGTTTGTCCCTCCTTCATCCCTCTTTTTTTCTCTCCCTCTCTCTCTCTCAATATCAACATCCACCCGCGCATTCATCCACGCAAAAATCACAAAATTCCGCGTAAAACGCGCGCGCAAATACGTTTCGACAGCCGTTGCTGTAGAGGTGGTCGTTTATTTGATTAACGAATCGTGCGCGCGTACCTGTCGATGATCGAGTGTGGTCGAAACTGTCGATGGCATCTAAAATATCTAATTCAAATTGGCGGAACTAGTTGGATCGAGCTAAAAGGAATACCAACTGTGTTCATAAATCATGCGTTTGTTGGGATATAACAATAATATAGTTTCATGTGTATCGAGTAAAAAAAATAGAGAAAACAATTAGGAACACCAATGGACAGCCGAAGCTTTCGAGACTTTAAATTACGCCTACGAAAGAGTGTTTGTTTCAACTGCTGCTTATAATAATTCAAATATAAAAAAAAACAAACCACACACACATTGACATAAACAGTATATTGTAATCATACCTTTTCTAGATATTCATGTAAAAAATATGTGTGCGTATCTCTTGAGATAAAAGATAAAATGTATATATATATTGTATATATTTAAAAAGAGAAAGAGATGTAGCATTTAAACAGAATATTTCGTACATATCGAGAGAAGTCTGAGAGAATAATAAAATATTATATTTTTGACTTACAGAGACAGAAGTTGGAAACGGATCGAAGTCTCGCATGCAGAGAATGAAGGTATTATACGTAATATAGAAAATGGTCGTCGAGCGGTTACGTCATTCCAACGAATTTGATTACGTATGAAAATTAATGAAATCCGATGCCCGCAGTCCACATATGTCCGGATTTTTCGTTTCGTCTCCATACGCAACATAAAGGCAAGTCTTCTAGATAAAGTATGCTTCACCCGCGCTGGACAGAATTTCGCGCACGAGTAGAAATCGAGAATTTAATTTGAAATGTGCATTTCGCATTTCCATTTTTTACATTGCTTAAAAGGGATGGATATTCCAGTTGCGGATATTAAGGTAAATCGTTTCCGGCGTGGGTGAAGTCTGATGAGTTGAATGCTATTCACTCTCGTCGAAATCCATGGAATTGTGGCCGATATTTAAGCATACAAATAAAAATACATATATATACACATGGTCAGAAAAGATCTGATAAATATTGGTATTCAAATGTTTTCAAGAAAACGCCTCGCGAATTTCTTTCTGCTCTTTCTCAGTATAAATTATGTGACTCTTTTCCTCGTCGAGGACGTTTGGGCGCAGAGAAAATTTCGCGCGAGAAAACTTTCGATTTGACTTTTATTGTATACCGTTCTCCTTTGACTGATCACTTTCCTGATGCTTTCGATTACTTTTCGTATACGCTTTCTTACGCGCGTCGTCCTTCTTCCATCCGGTATCCTTTTACACAATCACTCACGCATTCACGCGCACACTTTCCTGTCACGACCTCGAAAAAAAAAATACGTACCATGATCAACCATGATCATTGTCTCAACTGTCGAATAAAGTATTTTTTTCATATTATACATAATATCGATTATAATAAATGCGTACGCCCTAAAGCCGGAAAATAAAAATATTCGACAAAAATAATTCGTACGAAGCAATCCTTCGTATGTCAAATAATAATTTTCATGTTTACATTCGAACGAACAATTTTTTAACACATTTGCTCAATCAACTTATGCAGATCGTCTATTTTTTTCTCGAAAAATTCGCTGATTTTTCACGAGCGTTCAGAAATGAATGGCCGACAGATAGTAATATCGTCTGACAAATGTCAGATCGTTTCTACTGCAGCTAAAAATCGCTGGACTCTAATCTACAGTATTCACGATCACGCATAAAACACGATTAATGCTGCTATTTCGGAGCTTTTGCATCGCGCGATTTCGAGATCGCCTCAGGAAGGAGCTTCAGATCGCACGACAGTCGACAGTGGGGGTGCTTTTCGAGGGTGCTTTCAGTGCTGGTGCTCGGCGGCACGATATTGCATCGTCTATAACAATATTTATTCGGATGTGTATAGCCGCTGCTGTGTGCACGGTGCTCTCTCACGCAACAACGTGAGCATCAACGTCTCTACGTATATGCATATCCATAGTCGCACACGCCCGCACGCGTGACGTCCTACGTGAATGCTACGTGCACGCGTGTACGGTGCGCTGTCTCGCAGTGATCTCTCGAATTGATCGTAAAAGCTTGGGGAGGGGTGCTTGCACTTGAGAATTCGGTGCGTAATAAGGGACAAAGACTACGACGACGACGTGCACGTTCGCCGCGTAGCACTCTTGACTCCACGAAGTGCGTGTATGCGTGCGTGGTGGGTGCGAGAGAAATATATACGTGTAACACACGGTGCCGGCGCGCGTTTATACGTGACTTTTGCAAGTGCCCGTGCACATACGGTGTGTGAGGCATTATATATATATATATATATGTGTATGATACCATAGTAGCGGTGATATATCTCGATAAATAGTGAACGATGACAGTCAGTAATAATAGTAAATGTATGCGTTAAAAGATATATATATATATATATATATGCTATACACGTGACGGTGAATCTTTGTGCTTGACAATGTGCGAGCTTACACGGCAGGGTGCTTTCAGCAGTGCTTTTTATCGTTTCGCTTCGCTCTGCCGAGTCTGCTTCGGGGAAGGGATTTGAAACGGGGGTGTCGGATCAGTTGCTCCATATAGACAGGATAATGCCGGGAAACGAAGGAAGGGGGAGGAAAGGTGTGTACGGAAAAACGAAAGAGGATCCGGAGGAGGGAGAGAGAGGAGGAGAGAGGTTCCATATGGTGGTGAGCAGTGAAAGGGTGCAAAGGATGGTCGTTATGGACGCGCGTCGGTACGACTTTTCATTCAACAACCATAGTGACGTAACATCCTTCGCGACAAATGATACTTCTCCGCGTGTCCGACGTGGAGAATATCTTCATAGCCCGTTAGAGATGAACAGAGTCGCATCGTCACAATCATCTATCGTTTTCCCTCGGTTTATTTCTCTCCTTTCCGCGCTTTCGAATCCATCGGGGATCCAAGCTTTTTTTTTATAGAAAACAATCCCCGGTTTTTTCGCTCGATAATTATTATTTTTTCAATCTCGCGATCTGTTGTTTCTACTTATTCGCGTTGTGAAACTTTTAACAACCACGATCACTTCGCTTCCGCACCGAGAGAAGTTATCGTTACGATTAAATGATTTCCCGGAGAAATATCGTGGCTAACAACCGCGCGTATAGATTTATTTTTTCAACGACTATTGTATAAATATCGTGCAAACAATTTTTTTTTTTTCCTCGGTGCCGAATTCGTTTGTTATGGGAGGAATCGTGCTGGACGTTATTCGGGCCGACAAGGGGAGGCCTAGGGGGTGGAAAGAGGGCGAAAAATGTTCGACATGCAGGATCGATTGGCACCTTCGGGTACTGTTCAACCGGGGACAGGAATAGGAAGTAACAGAAAGCAAAACTGTCTTCATGCATCAACATGCCATTCATATAGGATATAGATGATATAATATGAATATGTGGTATAATTTACTAGGAAGTGATTTCGCAGACTCGACACAGTTCGGCGAAGTTTGATGATGCTGATGGAGAGAAGGTCGGGAAATAGGTGGGACATCGGAATCGGGGAACTTCTTTCCTTTTTCGTGACAGGAAAAATTTGGGTTGCTTTTCTGGAATCGAGGGAGTCGAGGAATCTTTAAACAAACGAAGGCATGCTCTAAACATGTGCAAACGATAGGTAGAACTAAATCTCAACTAAAGACAGAAGAGCCTTATATATCAGAGATATATATAGAAATATATATATGTGTAATATATATATATATATAGTGAAAAAGTGCGTCATATATATATTCTTGTGTGTGAGATAACATTCGCTAGAGTTTTTATATATATACGTAAGCGCTTCACTCGCAAGCTGTCCCTCGCTTTGCCATTATTTTCGTCCAATTGTTGCGTATGTAACAAGTTATTATTTAATTTCGTTCGTTAGTGTTATTTATTTATTTCATACAGCTTGTACAGCTAATAGTGATATAAAAAAAATAGAGGAAAAACGGAAATAATGGCACGCAGGGCAGCCAGCCTGACTTCTATCTTCATAACACGTGGCAAGAGTGAGTTAATAAACTAAAGGAGAGAAACGAAACATCTTTACTGACGTAATCACGGTAACCACCAGAAAGAACACTGAGTGTAATGAATACATATTATTAGATTGATATATTACGATAATGTGAATAGATCTTAAAAACTAGCTGTTCAAAACCTGGATCATCCTCCTGCAAATGCTTTAAGGAAAGACAAAAACACTTGAGTGAGTATAATTAGGTATTAATTAGCGTGTCAAAATAGATATCCAAGTTTTAAAATTAGGGCTAGGGGGATGAAAAAAACCAACGGCAACGAACAAAGAGAGAGAGTTGCGATTAGGCCCTGTAAAAAACGGTAAGAAAATTCGTTTTTTTTTCTTTTTCTCTTTCATCGTTAATAGCTGAGCTCAAAAATTGGTTATCAGCTTCTGAAAAATCCGTGGCTGCGTGCACCTGGAAAAAATTATCGTGGGCACACTAAAATCTGGGGAGAGGGGAAAGGGTTTCTTTTCGGGAGAGATTTTGGGACAGCTAGAATAAGTCGTTGGAAATTTTATTTTGCCGCAAAAAATCCAAAAATATAAAATCTTGCCAGCCAAAAATAGGGCCATCATCGTTTCGTGTTTCGCGTCGCGTGGGTGCCGTTTTATAAAAATCGGAAGAGTGAAAAGGAGGTTTACGAAAAGAACGACAGGAAAAGCGTGATTGGAAAGGCACGAAAAATCTAAAAAGTCGTGCGCGTTCAAAATTTTTGTTCGCGCAAAAAAAAAGGTAACTCGACCGGAAAAAAGGGCCGTGTCCGTCCTCTTTTCCTCTCTCGTCACGATGAGCGATTCGATAGTTCGTTTCTCGAAACTATGACTGTAACACAAGAATGGCGTGAGAGAAGAGAGGAAAGCTCATATATATATAATATAATACAGTATTACGATTTATTGTATATATAATGTAAGTTAATAGAATTATAGAAACGTAAAAATATACAATATGTAAAAAATATAATATATGAGTGTAGAGTCAACTGGAGAGAGAGAAAAGATAGACGATAGAGAAAATACAGAACAGAAAGTCGTGATAAAGGAGAGAGTATATGGTTGTTTGAGAAGTTTGGGGAAAGAGATAGGTGACGAAGTGACGTTAGCGGAATCTGAAATCGAAAGTAGATATATGTATATAGTAATGTACATTATATATGTAAATATGCATTCACCCAGATTAACACGGCGTGTCGTCGCAACCCGCACTGGAACCGCGCGAAAGTATAACCGGACTGACTTTTGGCGGGCTTTTATATTTTTGGCTCTCTCGGATGAGGCGCGTTATTACTTCATCCCAATATGTTATTTCTTCTTCGCGAAGCTTAGCGTGTGAAATTCGTAGCGACCGCGACCGATCGAGATTGGTGTCGCGATTCAATTTTCGATCGAATTTCCATATCAAATATTGCAGACATATATTATAACAGTTTTCCTTTTTTTATTTATACGATAGCTTTGTGTGAAGATGATTATTGCGAGATATTCGATAATATTGTTGTTCTCTCTCGCGTCACCACGGATTTTACACGTTAGTCCTCGCGTGTCAGAATTAAACAGAGAGACTTTCAGTCAGTGTCTGTGATACATACCGTCCTCGTGAGTTCTGACCACGATAGGAAAACTCGGGGGCCCGTCACCTACTCTGGTCCCGGCCAATACCCAGATCCGATATTCGGTCCACTTTTTGAGCTCGTCCAACACGAAACGCGTGTCATTCAGTTTGATATTCCATGCCTCGGAGTCAGAGCGACCGCTCTCGACGACTTGCAGTCTGTAGTAGGTGATCCTCCCGTTGGAACGTTCAGCGGCCGGTGGTTTCCACGTTACCAATATAGAGGTTGGGCTGATCGCTTTGCCGGTTACATTTTGAGGCGGAGCCCCGGGGACTGTATAACACTCAGTTATTGGAGGGAAAGAAACAAAATCGAGGGTCGGGCGAGAGGGCATAAAGTGACAGTTACCGGCCGATCGTACCAGACTCTGGTACTTTAGACTCAAAGAATACGAGAATATAAAAATAATCGTCGTTTAAAAATTATACATTATAATTATCATGCATCTTGACGTATTTCCTTGTCGGATAATTATCGTCTGATAAAAAATAACATAAATTTTGCATCCTTAACGATCAGATCTCGATGATTTTCTAGGTACATTTGTTATTTTAAAATAATGCAAATGGTAATTGCGACATTCTTGTACGAGACGAATGATAGATGATCGGTCAGCACGCGACGGAACGAACGAGTTCTCGTACTCTTCGATTTTTGACATCCTCAACACCGAGAACGCACGGTCGACGGTGACTGTCGAGGGATATTAAACGAAACGGTACGTGACGATTGGTCAAGGTTCAAAGTGGTGTAAAATATTCAAGGTTAAAAAGTCATGAATCGATCCTTGAACAGTCGAAAAAAGACGTGATTAGAGACAGTTCTCCCGGAGCGGTTCGATGTTAACTCGGGCGTAAAAAATGCGCAGAGTTAACGAATTACACGTTAATATAATTGCAAGGGAACGAGACAATGAAAAACTGAAGAACGGACGATAAATTAATAATATTAATTATCGAGAAAAGAGGTGCCCAAAATGCACACATATATCAATGCAGTGCTTAGTGCAATTTATATGTATGATATGTACGTATATATATATAGATATATATATAAAGTGGCATCCAAAAACGGCTTTCTTATTTGCAACGCATGCAGTCATTCTCACTCTCCCACACTTCACTTTCTGTTTCGATCTGTTATTCTATATTCTTTTCTTTTGACGCTCTCTTTTTTTAATATATTTTTCTTTCTCTTCTATTAAACGCGTCTTCGAAGATAAGAGATTTTTACTTTTTTATCTTTATAAAAAAAAGAGATTTTTTCCAAGGTGTTGTGCGTCCAATAGCTTACGCTACTTGCAGGAGCGTCTTCTAGCGCTACAGCACCTCCTACCTGCTGTGCCATCGCGATACGTGATTGCGCGAGGACTCAGATGCGTCTTATCCGGTCTGATTATCACGATTTGAAAATTCTGAGAGTAGTCGATTTTAATCTCGCGACAATCTCGTATCGGCATGCATCTGGCACTCCTCGCTGCATGAACTCGCTCGATTTCATTTACGTTCGTCGGCGTTCTGCTTACCGTACTGTTTTGTGCGAACCGGATACGGTATCGTCGTGGCACCTTCGCCCCTTTGACTCCTCGCGGCCAGCCATACGTAGTATAGAGTATTCGGATACAGTCCGCTCAGAGTGTAGTTCTCGGTAACAGGTATTCTGCGATGGTGCTTCTCCTGATTTGATTAGAAATGCCAGATGTGCGTTAACGTGACACGTAATACCGCGCGCGTAAATCAATCGTCCGTTTCGGAGAATAGCTTTAAGAGTTTCCATTCAATTCATTGTAATTGATTTTAATTAGAAATAAATTAAAATATACAATTTTATTTTTAATATCATTAACAATTTTCAAATGAGTGCCCACATAAATACGAGATAAAATTAGTTATCCTTCAACAAAAAATCAATTATAGAAATTTATAACGTTGCTTACCTTCGCATAAGTGTCATTCCAGTACAGCTCATAGCTGAGAATATTCTCAGCGCTATGAGCGGGTTTGCTCCATTGGAGCGTTACCGTGGTCTCCCCGATCTCAACCGCCGTTAGCATTTCGGGCTGACTCGGTACCCCTTGCTGTGTTTTGATTTGCACCGGTAGACTGAGCGGTCCAGGACCGACACTCGTGAGCGCCTGAACTCTTATGGTGTAGATCGTATGCGGCGTCAGCTCCGAGATGGTTGTCAGCTGGCTGTTATCCACCATCTGGTACTGCCACGACGCCATCGCTTGATTCGAATCCGTTGTGTAGTACACTTTGTATCCCTATAGAGCGTGCGCTCGTTAGCGAATTTGTTGCTATTTGGGGGAAAAATAATAATTTTGGAGAAAAAAAACACCGACCGTCACTTGACCGTTCGGAGTTTCCGGCTCGTCCCATTGTATGACCATTGTGCTGGAGCTCAATGGTCGAACTTGAACCTTTCGCGGTGCTGTACCGGGTTCTGAAAAAAGCATTTACTCGGTTTATTATTATTATTATTAGCGTTATTAAGAAGACCAGACAAAATACGAGGTACACACGAAAACGGTGTAACAGTGATGTACACAGTTATTTGCACGATAAGAAACCCTTCAAAAAAAGCAAACCCGAAAAGAAATCTTTTACCATAGAAAAACCTCCGTAAAAATTAGTGCGACGTAAAAATAGAGAAAAAGAAAACCAAATAAAATTCCCATTTTTTTGTGTAACAAAACTAAGGTGATACGTTTTTAAAATAAAATCACACTGCAATTAACTATTTAAATATACTCATACGAACGTGTAGGTATCGATGTGTGTGTATTTTAAAAATATATATGTATATGTCAAAGTAAAATTGATAGTTATGTGAAAAGTAAATTGAAATGAAGAATAAACAGAAACACACGGACAGGTAAAGAAATCGGTGTAAATGTGTCACTACAGCACTCTTAGTATATGTTTTGACTTACTGGCACCTCCATTTGTTGATTCCGCTATCCGAAAAAAATGTCAAAAGATTATTGTCAATTCTCCGTACATAAGTGGATCATAAATTTGGAGTGAAAATACGAACTGCGAGAACAAGTCTACGTCTCTTTCGTATTTTCACGGAGTAAGAAGTGTGCTACTATTTTGTAGGAAAAGTGCAATTTCGCGTGCTGTCTCTCCCGCGTTTCTCGCTCCCTCTTTCATAAAAAAAGGAGACGAAGAGACGTATTCGAGACGGAAAAAGGTATAGATAGATAGAGAGAGAGAGAAAGCGAGAGAAAGTGAAAGAGGCAGTTGAGGCTGGGAATATAGAGGCGAAAAAATACACAATGACACGAGACGTCGAAGCGCGACGATATGCTGTAGAACGGCCCGTAAAAAACACTAACATATTTGGTGCAACAAAGAGCAGAGGGGGGAGTTTGGTGATAGGTGAAAAAAATTTTCTTGTCACTTACATGGATCAAATCGTGCGTCCACGGCGGACAGCATGGAAAAAAGTACAGAATTTCCCTCAAAAAATGTGCGTAAAAATTCGCTTTTTTTCGATAGTGTACAAAAATTCTACGTGCAAAAAATTCACGTTCATATCGGAGTAGCGCCGTTCCTTCACTACACCTTTACATTACCGTTTTCCGATCGTCCCTCGCGAATGTGAATGCGAGGAGAAAAAAATTTATCGGATCCGAAATGTGAATTCGCGTTTTAATTGGACGAAATTCACCGTACGTATGTTCGTTAAGAGTCGCATAAATAAAACATAAATTGATTCATGAGTGGGTTTACTTTGTCATGTTGGATAGATACGATCTCCGTGTATGTAAATGTAAAGGTATCGTAAAAAATGATTTGACAAACGTCATTATTTTTTATGTTAAGTTTATGTTTATACGATAAATTTGAGGTGAGACTGATGAGAGAAGAATAAAATGTTGATAAAATGAGAGATACTTTTGCAGAAACGATTTTTTCCTTTGTTTTTTATTTTAATGTAAAAACGACAGCAAATTTTAATTAGTGGAAAACTCATTAAAATATAATATAATTATAACGATACACATTCATAAATATTAATACGGTATAACATCAAATAAAGAATTTTGTCTTGTAAATTATTAATTTTTTTGTCTGATATATCTATGATATTTAAATTGCAATCCATGAATCTCGATGAAGGAAATAATCGTTTCTAGCCACGATAGAACTTTAAAAATGGTTAGAGATTAGTACGTCATAGTAAATGCTATGGTACTGACTTGTTTCACCAGTGGTGACTATCACCGGGGCACTTGGGGGACCACGCCCGATGCTGTTCACGGCTATCACATATAGCTCATACTCCGTATACGGACTGAGACTCCTAACATGGTAGTACATCGTCGTGATACCGGATATCTCGGCAAATGCCTGGTTCACATGCTTCGGTTTATGCTGAATTACGTAGTACTGCAGCTCATCTGGTCCTTTGTAGGACCAGCTCAGCTTCACCGACGTCGCAGTGATGTCCGACACTTGAACATTCTCTGGCGGGCCGGGAAGAGCTGTGGGGATATTATTACGGCTTTACCTCTAAAGCGTCGAATACCGATGGTGATGAAAATCCTCGCGCGATTACTAACATTAATCTTTATAAATATCTCATCTGCTCTCGAAATGCTAAATTATTTATATTTATTCAATCATCCGAAGCAATAAATAATTTCCTAAAATTTTCGCGATATTTAATAGCTCTCCGAAAAAAAATGTTGGTGATAAATTCATCAGACGTGATAGCATGTGATAAGGGGTGAATATTTTTTTGCGGGAATTCCTTTTTATTTATCTCTCGGCAAGTTATTTCGCAGCGATTATTGCTATCGTAATACAAGGTCTAAGCGGATCGATTAGACCTTGCCTATCCGATGAAAGCGGAACAATGCGGAATGCAATGCGCGATTAATCGGTTCGTAACAGATAATCCGCGATAACGTAATTCGGAGAGGGCGATTCAGAAAAGAAGGGAAGATATCTATAATTAGAAATGAGATACAAGAATAGAGAAAATTATCTTAGGAAATCTGAACTCGATACGAACATTGAACCTTCACCATTGTAGTTGCGTCAATTACACCCAGGTCGCTAGCGGCTGTGCATGTATAATTGGCAGATTCCTTGATATCGGTCAATTTTAAGACATTCTTGCCGACAGGCAGGTTGTCTTCCGGCGTCAGATCGGTCGCAGGGTCCTTTCTCCATTTCACGAAAGGCATCGGTGCGCCGACCGCGACGCAAGTGATATTCAATGATCCGCCCAGCATTACCTCGATCAACGGCGGAGGAGGAATCGAAAAGCTCGGTGAAACGCGACGTACTGAGAGAAAAACATTTGACAATTGGCAGAATTAATACTCTTCCTTTTTTTAGCGATAATTTGATTCAATTTTTTAACATTATTTTAATTTTTCGATTTTTAACATTTAACTCGATATTAAAAATTATATTAAAGTAATACGTATTTAAGATTAACATACAATATACAAAACAAAAAAAATCTTAATTATTATATGTCTTATTATATATCTTTTTGAAATTTAATTTGTGAAAACTCTTAAATCCTTAATCGTTTATAACACAAAATTTAATGATCCTTTTTACATATTTTTGTTGAATAATTCAGCTTCAAATTACAAAAATTTTTGCATGTAAAAAAGAGAGAAACTTTTCTGTACATAGCATACATGTGTGTATGTACAGTATATCATATACATAATTTTTTGCAATGACTTACATTATGATTGAATCGAATGCCGTGTTTGTTTACTAGTGTCATTAAATCGAAATGCAAATATAAAACGTGTAATAGCGTATCTAATTAGAGAATAATTACGAACGCACGATTTTACGATAGAAAATTAACTGCATTCATGATCACATTTTATTCGCAAAGTGTAATAAAATCTCGAACGATTATTTGAAAACCGTCACATAGATTTGACAAATCGCGGCTACGGTAATTAAACCAAAATGCTGTCGTGATTCGAGAATCGCGGCGAAAACACAAGAAACGAGAAGTCTCGGCGCATAATACATGCGACGTGAGTCGCGCGAGCCCCTTTGTGCCGTCCATTTAGTTTAATTGCGTCCTAATTGCGTTACATTAATTTTAATTACGAACAGGAAAATGTCTACGTTTATGACATTGGCGTTATTGTTGCGACGAGCTCGAGTTGCGTTCGTTATTTGATCGACGAAAACATTATTATTTTTGTTATTTCAAATTCTTTTCTGGCTTTCTCATTAAAATATTTCTTTTTTTTTTCATATCTTATAGAATGCCGTTTTAGACAATTTATAATTTGTGAAGACAAAATTTTATTTTTTAAATATATCGTGTCGTGTGATATAGAAAACATTAAAAAAGTATAAAATACATATATAATAACAGGAGATACATATTAGAATATGTGGAATATAAAATTTGATAAATAGAATTTTGTCTAGAATTATAGATTGTCTAAAGAAGAATTTATAACGCACAATCTTTCTATAAAAGTGAATGAAAGCATCACATTACTAAATTAGAAAATATATTTATGCTTCATAATTAATTAATCTATTATATTGATAATTCTGTGTAAACATTTATAACAGTTAAATGACATACCTTTGACATATAACGTGGTTGATTTGGAGTACTCTGTGCCTACGGAATTATTAGCGACACACTCGTATTTGCCCTGATCGCTCACATCAGACTCGGTAATCTGCAAAGCACCTAAAACATAAATACAACGAATGCTCTAAGAATCGGATATTCTCATCCAACATTATCTTCTTAATTATCTTGCGTTATTCTTAATAATAATTAACTTAGCGCAATTAGATTCAATTCGCGATTCCGCAAATTCATTATTAAATCATTAAAAACAATATGTGTGAGAGATGGTATAAGAGAAATGTGACGTGAAAATAAAACGTTCTTTAACGAACTGCATTCTGAGCAATCTTCATCTTGTGCAATTATTCAGGGCGAAGTATGGAAATACATATGCGGCGGAGCTCGACGGAGCCGCGTTTGAGTGGATCTCTGTATTCTCTGCGCCTTTTACTTCATTTTTCCGCCGCTAATAGAGTTCCTACTATGTTCTGCGGAGACGTTGGGTCCGGCAGAAAGAGAACGGCCGCACCGTGTCATCCTTTCCTCACTCACCCTCTACTTTTTCCACCCTCGCTCGTACATTTCGTTTTCCGGCTCCGGGGTTCGTGCGAGGCTTTTACAATGCATCAACTCCCTTAGAGCGTGATACCGCGATGATGAACTGGTCGTTGCGAGGCGTGTGATTATCGTTGCCGACACTACCGGTTCGATATAATTCAACCTCTTCCTCACCCTTTTCCGGACTTTCATACCCACGCCCTACCTATTCGTAAAATAAACACTGGGAGCACCAGTGGCATCGAGAATGAGAGGCGAGGGACTGTTGTGTTAGAATCGATCATTCGTTTTTCATTCTTTCTCAACGTTTCATCGACGGTTATAATTAGAGGATGATTGTGATGATAACGCAAATAATAAAAAATGGAAAAAATAGTATTTTTATTAAGATCTAAGATATCTAAAAAAACAGAGTATTATTACATCTCTCTTTCAGGCAGAAGGTAGGTTGTGCGTATATTCGCGCTAGAGAACGCATCGAAACGAAAACGCGACAACACGTACGAGGGGATTGGTTTCTCTCGAAACTCGCGATGTACTCTAGATATATATATATATATATATATATATATATTTTTTTTTCCCTGGAAGACAAATATCGTGCGCGGACCGACGCGACGCGTTGTTTCCCTCGTGAGCGAGCAAACGAAACATGCATGGGCGGTCGCTGTTAAAGGGTTTCTCCGTTTGGATATTATGGCCTCGGGTAAAACCCGAGCTCACAATTATCGGCGTGACCTGGCGCGGCTGTTAATTTCGCGGGCCGACGAATTTTCGCCGGCTCCCGATTTCAGAATTCGTTATCCGCTCGAATGGATTCACGTGCCATACGTGGTGGTTTTCTGTAGCCGCATTGCGATCATGATTCCGATCCGATAAAGGAAAAAGACGATAAAGGAGGTAACTAGAATGGTTGGAATCTCGCTCTTATTATAGAGAAAATTTGATTTGATAACTTAATTGATATTTAATTATTTTTTTCAACAATTTGACCTGTTTCGATGATTGATTTTTATTTTATTTAAATCAAATGATTTAAATAAAATAAAAATATTGAATTATTTTAAATCGATGATTGATTTTTATTTTTTTTTTTAATCAAATTTGTAACTTAATTAATTTCTATCGGACATTTATAATGAAATTTAAAGAATGATTTCTAAGATTGTGTGTTACGTGAGATTTGATTTATATTTTGCAAAATGAAACTAAGTATATATAAATGTAGCCAAAAAAGATTGAGCGCCGGGCTTCAGAATTTTTCGAGCTAGTCCTGGAAAGAAAAGAAGTCATCTAGGATAGAGTTCGGTAAGATAGACGGAAAAGAAGCAGGAGAGAGAGAGAGTAAGGGTCGAGGGTAGAAAACACTCCATCACGTGGGAGTGGGAAGCGAGGCGAACTGATATCGCGTACGATCGGAATACGTAATCATGCCTCATCTACAATTTCCCGTAAGCCGACCAGGAAGGAATGGGCCTGATCGTATTGTTACCCTAGAATCACGTGCGCATTGTTAGCATACCACCGTGAAAACGTTATATGACTGGCGAAAAATATGACGTAAAACGCTCGCTCTTTCGTTCATCCGTCATATTATTAAATGATAAATAAAATTATACCAAGATTTTCGAGACGTACAGCTGTCATTTTGATTAGCTGTACTTACAATTAGATTAAATATATATAATTACAATTTATCGCGATGTTGCAGTGTTAATTGATACACTGGATATCTTCTTCCATTAATTTTCTCCTTAATTTTCTCCTTAATTTGTTAGCCGTTAAATGTCCTTAAATGAAAACGTACGTGTTCTGAATATTCTGATGGGTTTTTGCTCGTTGAAACTTGGTTTCTAACTCTCGTTCTCTAACTAAAAATAATCTCATTCGGGTTAATATCTAGTTAAACTTTGACATGTACATTTCGTGGTTTCAAATTGTAGAGTTTGAGTTATCTTATAAAAAATTGAATTTTTCATTCTTTTACAAAATTCGGGCATTAATAATTTAATATTTGTTCATGCGGTTCGATCATTACTGCTTCTAAATAAATTCATGGCAGTTGTTGTTGGACTGAATTCGATAATAGAAAATTTCTCTGGCAGTGTGTTATTAATTAAAATTAATTAACGTCTTTCTCCTTCTCTTTCGCTCTTCGTCTTATATGTTTTATCTTAAAGCTCATTTTGATATCTCATTGCGTGGTCGGTGTCGTAACTTCTCGCTTTATCGCGTACGTGCAAGGTAAAGAACGATACAGAATTTAACAGGAGAACGCGCGAATTACCATTGGTTTAATGATAACATTTCTACGGCGTAATAGCCGTTTAAAATATTCATAAGGGTTGAAAAAAGGAACGGTTGCGATGAACAATTAGATCTCGAACGCGTGAAACACAACGCAAGACGACGATAATCGCGGACAGTTTATAAATTTTAAATAATCAACGCACGCGAGTGCCACTATGAGCACGATCGACACATATGTATGTATATAATGCAACAGAGCATTAAGAGACATCATCGTTACGAATCGCCGACATAATATCCCGTGTTTCAATTCTTTTCGTAATCCCAGTTTATCGTATCGATCGAAAATTCAAAGTCAGGAATATTTCAAACGAGGAGAAAATATTATAGATAGTGCGATATTTCCGTGAAAAATGATTGCTCTCCGGAACTATATATTTACGCATATATTAGACTTTTTGCGCAAAAGTGGAGTAATTTAAGTCTTAAAACCATAAATATATCGCTTCAATTTGTAATCATATCTTATCCGAATGTTGTTTTTTTTTTTTCAATTTACCTTGCGTCACGTTTTAAAAAATAACAGCTCATATATCTCGTTATGAACGAGAAGTATCGTATATTTCTGGAAATTTTTACTCTTTTATTTTTTGAAGATCAATACAGTGTACATGCGTAAATGTCTGAACTTGGCCCTTTTGTTTTATGATTCACAAAGGATACGAGAGAGATGACATTCGCATCTATTCATACAATACAATTTTTAATATCATACATTCCGTATAAAATTACGAAAACTGCTTCTATTTCCATGTTTTATTTGGCCGTCCGGTATAATGTCTTGTTTTTGTTAAATAGTTGTTGCTCGTACATTTTGTTTTTATATTCACGAGGATATGCAACGAGATACGCTGAATAAAAATAATAGGTGAATACCATGTTTCTCTCGCGTCGGGTCGATCAATATTACCAGTACATGACAATTAACGACGTTTTACGAACTTTGTACTGCGTAACAACGAATTTTTGCCGATGAAAAATGGGCTACAAATTCATCAAGGAATCTGTCATGGTTGAAAGATTAAGATTTACACAAGTAAGCTATGTACAGCATTAAATCGTCTAACATAATAGCATTTGTTTAATTTTCAGCTTCTTAATTAAAACAAGACACGGTACGTATAAATTTTGCATCTCAAATCGCGTTTAAGATATTTAACTCACAATACATTACAACACACATTTTTATGTTTAATTCGCTTTTGATTTTATTTATATTTCAAGGAAAAAATTTATTAAAAAAACTGAAATTGTTTTGATATGTGCAATATGCAGAAATATAAATAAAATAAAAACATTAAACATGTTACAGTTAAACCGTAAAGATAAACAAGGGACGATGATATTTTTAAGTTGTTTTCCAACCGATTGATTCAATCCGTATGAAACTTCGCGATCGATGAAGCACCGATCGGGTGAACGAGAAGCGCGATCAAATTTTCCTGCGATTTGGAAAATTGTGTTCGTTTCTGCCGTTGGTAGGCGCAGAGCGACAGCATTTTTCTCGGCTCTCTCCGTAAAGATCCGGGACAACATCGCATATACGAATGTGCACAACGGGGCACGCGAGTGTGTGCGCAGACGGTGGTGCTCTTGTTATTTGTATGTGTTTGTCGACCAATATTGAAATATTTTCCTTTATATTTAATATTACGGGAGCAAATGCGACACGCGGGATAAAAATACGCGAGATGCGCGCGTCGTCGTCTCACTCTTGCCTCGCAGCCTTTACTTTCCGGGGATAGCTGGGATGCGTCGCACGGGGTAGAATCGAAGGATGAAGCACGGGATGAATTCGCCGGCGAATACAGGATTCCATCAGGATAGAATACAAATAGGAAATATGTTTACATTGAAAACATTTCCAAGTGTGCGCTTGTATATATCCGTCCCCGGATACGCGTTCATCGCGGGCATTGGCGTTGCCGTGTATAGCGAAACTTTTTAATTCCGACGTGCGATATCGAACGTGAAAACTTCAATTACGCCGGAGTTCGACACTTTACGCGTTATGGCGACTTATAGCTTCAAGATCATTAGAGATCATTCAGGGACTTGTCGCAAGATTTTTCTTCTCGTCCAAGTCCGATCGAAGACTCATGTCGTGAAAAGACTGCAAGCTATTTCTTTTAGAAACTTATTCCTTATTAAAAGAAATCATAGATGTGAAAATTATGAAAATAGAAAATAGAATTATTACACAAAATTGAAAAATAAATTTCAACAATATCTTGCTGTACTTTTTTCAA